TTTATTTATAATCTATAAATGGAATTTTTATTGAAATAGGATTTAGAAATAATATAATCTGAATATATTGAAAACGAATTTCATTAACTATTTTCTTTATTAATATAAATATAATAGGAAATTTAATAATAATAAATCATAAAATTCATTATATAAAAGTATTTTCTTTTATATTTAAAAGAATTTAAGTTATTTTATAAATTTGGGAATATATTTTTGTCACGGAATTCACCGTCTTGTGCAACAACACGTGATTGAGCATGGCACTCCTACGAAGTGCTTATTCCTATGATCACTATATAATTTTCTATTCATTTTATATATAAACCTTAATATCTAATTAAGCGATTTTGTTGCTTGATTAGAGTATATAAGATAGGTATGATTCTTATAATCATATCATAAGTCAATCTAGTTTATTATTATTATATATATCTATTATATAATTAGAGTGATCAATCGACATAGCTATCCCTCCGTGATAATTTTCTTTTCAGCTGACCTATTAGCTAAAATAAACTTAAAAACTTCAAAATATTTTGTAGTTTTTCTAATTAATTTGAATTCTTTTAATTAAAATACAATTATAGTTTTTTAAAGCTTTTCTTTAATTTGAATAGGTATAGAAAATGATTGGATATATATAATAAAAGTTATTACGATTTCAAGTTGGTGATGGGCTAAAAGTCTTCGAGTTTCTTATATGTTCGAGTTCCCCATATGTTATGTTATCATTGAAAGTATTTTATATTTCAATAATATTGAATATTATTAATAATACACTGAAATATGGGGATCTATATATTTCTAGTCGAATATTACATATTTTGATTGATTTAAATCTAATAAGGAAGGAGATTATTCAAAATATATAAAATTCAAGAAAAAATATATGAATTCTCATATTTTAGTACATTCTTAGTATAGTTTTGTATGTATGATATATAGGAACATGGATATTATTGGTTATTATAGATACTAGTGTGCGTATTATACTCTCTATATTAGCCACAGTAATACTATCGTATACTAATTACAACACTGATCGAAAGCAAACAATGAAGAAGACGATCATGGGCGAGCAAAACTTCGCGTCCGCCTTTTAATTTCCGCTATCTCTTGTGTCTAAAATCCACCATGCCCCGTATCAACTACGTAGAGTCTAATAATCCAAAAGTGAGTATGTAATATATAATTATCGTTGTCTGTAGTAACGGATTGTGATTGCTGAGCAATTCTCTTCTCATGTATCTCATCATCAACGACATCAGGTAATACTCTCACTATTACTCTTGCTATCATCTTATCATCCATAAACCTGCAGATTATGTCATCGTGGTTGCAAACCCCCATTCCTCACTTCTCACCTCTTTCCTTCATCCATCTCCTCACAGATCAAGCCAGATCCAATCCCAAATTCAAGATCATCACCACAACCTCCTAACTCTAAGATATAAAATCCAAGAACCCAAGAACCCAAGAACCCAAAAATATTTTTCTTAATCCATAAAACCCAACAAACTTAAACACCTCTCACAATTCTCAATCTCTACACACAAATTTACACATACCTATCATCCAACCTACCCACCTATCCACCTCATCAACCAATCCAAGCCCCACATTATACCTTGTTACATTGCACCATAAAGCCAAGAACCGAAGCGAAAACCGAAGCGAAAATTTCATCTCATTTAATTCGATTTGACTTAATCCGATCTGAATTGACTTAACTTTACTTAACTTGATTCTAATTGAACCCGAATGCAAACATAATATATAAAATAGATACATTTAGTAGAAATATATACTAATTCAATCCAATCCAAGCCACCAACTAAACCACCTGAAGATTCTCAATAAATTTATCAAAAGAGGAATAAGTAATAAGAGATAAATAACCCGCTTGTAAGAGTTGAGGCCCCGGCTTATCGCACACCACCCATTTTTCAATCTAATTTTTTAAAATTTAATAATAAATCAATCATACAATATAATCTTATAAAACTTGAATATTATATTAATAAATAATAATTAATCCTTGTATTTCAATTACATTTTTAATCTTGTAAATCAATCTTTTAGTATATAATCTGAAATCTAAAGGATTTACTCTATCCCAGAAAACTTGTAATTCATATTTCAATTTCTTTATAAAAGTAGATATAAATAATAGCTTTTTTAATTCCTCTTTTATTTATTACTATACTTTCTCAATTAAATTAAAATCCAAAAAGAAAAATAGCTGATCAAAGTCTTATATATTATACTTCAATCGAGTTCTATAAATATATTTAAAATATATTTTAGAATTATTCTTTATAAATATATATTCAAATCCTAGTTTATTAAATAATAAGAATACAATAAGCTCAAGGATTTATTATATATATACTTTGAAAATAATATTTTTATTATCCTCAAGTTTTTTCAAAAAGATTAATAGAGATTTATAATTCTAGCTAATCGTATCTCATATTATTATCAATACTCTTTTTAATTAATATATTAATTTAATATAATTAGTATATCTCTTTTTATCAATTTGTTTAGTAATCTATATTCTATCTACTTTTCCTAATTCAAAAGTATTTTTATTCGATTATATAATTAGCCTCTAATTCTTCTCTTTTAATCTAATAGTAGTAGTATTACTAATTCTCTATCAGTAATATCTATATATAAAATCTAATCTCTTTTTTGCTTGTATTCTTAAGATAAAGGGTTTAGAATATGCTATATACTTTTTATATCTATATCAATACAATTCCTTTCGAATTGTATATATTAAAGCCTCAATGCTAAATATATTTTTAATTTATTCAAAAGTTATTCTTCTTTCACTTCAATTTTTAGCAATTATTCTTATAATTTAACAAATCTTTTTAATAATTATTATAAACTTTTAATAAACTTTCCTTTTTCGAATTTTCTTAATTGAATTAGATTTAACTATATTTCTTATAGTAGATTATAGTATATCTAAATTTAAAATAATTCATCCCTAGAATTTTCTATCAATTCTAATTTGAATAACTCTAGAACATCAAGGAGTATGCCAATTTTAATAAAATTTATAATTATTATCTTTGTAATCATATTTAATATTCAATTTGAATTTGAGTTGAAAATAATGAATTTTAGAATAATAATTGAATTTTTAAAATAAGGTATGCGAAATTAGGTGGCTACCCTAATCTCGCTTAAATGTGCAATAAGCCGGGGCCTCAACTCTTACTATCCATTCATCCATCAATTTTTCTATCTTTCTATCTTTCTATTCATCTGATATTTAGATTTATATTCATAGTACCATACCATCATCACCCATTCACTCATCCATTTCTACACCTCCCTCGATGCAGATTTTCATTTCTTACCAAATCAATCATTTGATTAGTTGTAGTCAATATTATAAAGATTTTAATTACCTGGAAGAATAGAAGAAGAGAACCGATACCCCCCCTCTCCATCCTCTAATACCAATCCACAAATCTAAACTACAATTTTCCTACCCCAAGCCCCCGTCTCAAACTCATTTACCAAGTCAATATTTCAACTCCTATATGTCCCCTCCTCATCTTCATACCAGATCCATCTACCATTTCACCCATCCCCCATCCCCCATCCCCCATCCCCCATTCCCCATTCCCCATCTCCTCATCTCCATCCACTAATTCATTCATTCATCCACCCATCATCCAGAAATACTAAGGAACACCAAGGAAAAAAGATAGAAAAAAGATTGTTATCGTCATTACAATATCGCTCTACTCACCTCAATCTCATTCATCTCATCCCATCTCATTCCATTCCACTTTTCCACATAAATCAAAATCAAAATCATAATGTTTCTATATTTTCATATTTACAATTTTAATCATCCCCATCATCCCCATCACCATCACTATCCCCTAAATCTTTCCTTCTTATACCCCTCCTCATATCCCCTCCCCAAACCCCATCCCCTCAGCATTCTATACCATACCATAATAAAACAATCTTCCCATCCCAGAATATATAAATATCTCCCCTATAACAAGTAGATTCAAATCCTCGATTTGTTTCTGTGATTGTTAGACATTATACTTCTAGCATCATATATCGTATATCATGCACCGCACCATACATCATATATCACTCATCCCCGTTCCCATAGAATCCTCCTCTCTCCTCCTCTCTCCTCCTCTCTCCTCCTTCACCCATTCTCTCCCACCCACAATCATCATCATATCCCTAGATTTCCAAACTTCCAAACTTCCAAACTTCCAGTTACCAATCTTCAATCTCAAACACCCAGTTCAGTACCCAGTCCAGTACCCAGTCCAATACCCAGTCCAACACCCAGCTCCCCGTATCCATCCCACTACACTGCCCTCAAAACCCCCCATCATATCACCCAGAATCCCCCCCCTCAAGACCACCCACCTACAACCCCTCCACACACTATCATTCTCCTATCTAAATTCCAAACTCTAGAACCGGACTATCTACCTACTAGCCAAAACACCATTGCTAGCCTTTTCTTGAACAGTTACTAATGATGGATTTTCTCTTTCTGTTTCTATCTTGTGCTCAAACTTCGAGGTTCTGATATTTTTTCATTTTTTACTGCCGGATGGTTTATTAGATCATGAGTATATTGATGATATAATCACAAGTCTAGTTGTTGAACCTATGTATGATATTAATTCTATAAACAGATGCTACTATTAAATACATCTTTTCGTACCATTGAATACATCTTATTAAATTGTGGAATACTAGTCCTTTTCCCATCTACATTTAAAATTATGTCCTATATATGTAAGAACTGGTATTGTTGCTGAAATGTACAGACTCACGAGTATTTCCCTTTTACGAAATGAAAGACTTAGCACGGTGACTAGGCTTCTACCAGAGGGTTGAAGTAGATCGTGCTTCATGATCCAGTACCTTGTACCCATGGGCAGTGAGACTCGAAGCCGGCATTCCGTATTCTTTCCCCTCATAACAACCATCTATGCCAAAGTGACTGGCTTTGGCTTCCATATCGCCCAACTAAAAGAAATCACAACTTTTATGGCAGCAGCAAGCCAGAGAGCAGCAGATAAACCAGCCGAACTTCGACTGATCCAACCCCCAGCAATTCCACCAGAAAGAATAGCAAGAACAGCTCCTACTCTTCTATTCCTCTTAACATTATTTCGTGCAAGTACTTTCGGGTCTGAAGCAATGTCACAGTAGACACTGGTCAAAACCGTAGTAGGAATTTCATTGAAGCCCAAGATTCTCGATGTAACAATTTGACCACCAGATTGAAATGCCAAGAATGCTAGGGGAATCAACTCGATAAAATTGACTTCATCCTCGATTGACTTCACACCAAGTGGTTCTGGTACCACATTTCTTTGGACCAATGCTGCGGCTATTATGATACAGATTCCTTGTAACAAAAACGATATGGATAGGATCCCACGAATCTTTCCGGCGCCGAATCGTCGTGTTTGTGCGAAAAAGAGACACCCGCAGAGGAAGAAGAATATGGAAATTAGGGACTTGACCCAACCGTATGGATGACTGATTGGTTGACCGGATGCGCCGAGAGCTAGAAAGATGGTATTACCTGCGAAAAGATAGATTAGTAATGAACATAGCATAAATATGGTCAACAGACTGAAGCATTGCAGAAACGCATACCGGTTTGCATAGAAACAAAACATGCCCAAGCATTGTAGGCACTGCTGTCGCAGATACCAGATACGAGCGCACATGCTATCATTGGCAAATCAGCATGAACGAGAGTTATCTCTTCGCTGAAATGGGATTTTGTTCTAGCCCATAGAGAATCGTGGGATTCTTTAATAGAAGCATTGTGAGATCGGCTGGGGGAAGGAAGTTCTGTTGTTGGAAGGGAACTTTGAGCTGCAGGACCCGATTCTTCGATTGAGCGGGCTTTCACCATAATTGGTCGAATTAGTCACCGAGTACTTGCTTGGGACGATTGATTGATGAATCGGTGAATTGACGAATCAATAATTGAGCATCGGTACTCGAACAAACGAGAGATAAGGTAAGGTAAGGTAATGTACTTGGGTATAGTACAAGTCAGAACACAAAAATGAAGATATACTTAGTCTCCGGGACAGCGTAGAGTCTCATATATATAAATGTCAATATAAATATCAATACATATTAAACACGGGAAATTCTATGACGGAATGAACGACCCGTATTGGATAATGCCGGCCATTCGAATTATTTTTCCCTTATCATGACTAGGAAATCTCATACTTTGTACGTAGACAAGACAAAAATAAAAGAAAAACTCAGGAGAAAGCTCGGATTGAGTCGGTATCGGCAATTATCAATTATGGATTATCTAATACCCACCCACTCACTCCAGCCGATACCCAGTCCAGTGCCCAGTGCCCACCCACCTCCTATCAATCCTTGATTAGAAAAAGAACCCTTAATGGGTCCTCAGGTCGTCAGGTCCTCTTAAAAAAAAAAATGAGATGGGAATTTTCAGTTTCGCATATGAACCAATCAAGAATTTCATATCTGACATTTACTCATTCCAACCAATGAAATCCCTCCCATCTCCAACTTAATCATCCGTTTGATAAAGACTCAAAGCAAATATCATATACAATCTCATAAACTAAGCCCAAAGTAGTTACCTCCTCCTCTAAAATGTCTGAATTTTCCCGTAGGGTCTTGTCTTGTCTTGTCTTGTCTTGTCTTACATGTGATTTCTAACTATAAACTCCTTAGTGGCACAAGCTGATTGCGCTCCACCCACCAAAAAAATTCCATTATCTATAATCTTTTTTTTCTTCACCCCTCATACTCTTTCTCTTCATCCTTCCTCTTCCCTCAAACCCTTCGTTTTGATAATTATCTTAGCCACACGCGGCCAAGATACAACTTCAAAATAGAAAAACGAGATTCAAATCTTCTTGTTTTTCACTTCTTTCAAGTCTTACAAGAGACTTCATTCTGCTCGGTCAGAAACTCTCCACTCCCAAATCCCGACAATCTTTGCGAATTGCGACCATTACTAGGTTGCCTTCGACCCAAAGAACACATTTTTCCCATTTTTCAAAGAATTTTCTTCTCACGAATCAAATTTTCCTCATTTAGAAGACGAATTACATCGATACATTAATATTACACACTTTCGAAACTTTCTCCAGGCATTATAATGCCACATCAGGAATCTCCCACTCACGAGATGCCTACAATGATTTCGAAGGCACCAAATGGTGTTGCCCCCACACAAGAGGAAGTTTCCGGTATCCTCGATAGCATTTTCGAAGCAAAGACATCCGCCGCATCAGTCGATGCATCTTACGCTCTCTGCGACCTTCTTATCAACTCTGTCGGTTTCCGCGGACTTCAAGATTATGGCATCTTAGCACAAGTCAAGAAGGCTGCGGCCGATAAGAAGAGTGGATTAAGAAGAGAAAGCGCTCAAAATCTTTTGGGTGCTCTCTTTGAACGTTTTCCTCCCAAGCAAAAAACCGCTGAGGTTGTCTTCCTCTTGCAAGATACTACCTTGGTACCATGTGCATTCGATGCTCTCGCCGATAAGGGAGCTGTCGTTCGCGATGCTGCTCAGTATGCTCTCGACGCATTATTCTCCAACTTGAACGCCGAAGGTCTCGTCTATGGACTCCTCCCAATCCTCATTGCTTATCTCGCCAAGCGAACCGGAAAGTGGCAAGGAACCGTCGCTGCATTCAAGTTAATACAAAAGATGGCAGACAAGGCGCAAATGTCTATTGGTGGTAGCAAGGAGGAAGCTGATGAGAAGGACTTGTTGAGAGAAATCTTGGGTGCAAAATTGGCACAATTGATTCCTCTTGTCGAGGCTGGAATGCACGACTTGAAGTCCGAGGTTGAGAAGCAATCTGTCACCACTATGACTTCTTTGACCACCCTTCTTTCCAACGACGATGTTGCTCCAAGAATCCCACTCTTGATCGAAACCATGCAAAAGCCAGGAAAGGAGACTCTCCAAAAGGCCATTCACGCTTTGTCTCAAACCACTTTCGTTGCTATTGTAACATCTCCTGTTCTTGCTCTCCTCACACCCCTTCTCGAGAGATCTCTCAACGACCGCTCTACCGCACAAGAAGTTTTGAGACAAACCGTCGTCGTTGTTGAGAACTTGACAAAGTTGGTTCACGACCCTGTCGAGGCTCGTACTTTCTTGCCAAAGTTGCAACCTGGTATCAAGGGCGTTTTGGAACGTGCATCTTTGCCAGAAGTCAGAGAGATGGCTGATCGTGCCATGAAAGTCATGGACAAGGCCATGAGTGATGATGCCGGAAACGTTGCCAACGGTGTCGCACACGTCACTAAAATCACTGCCGCTGATGTTTCCAAGGTTCTCGAAGCTGAGATCAAGAAGGCTGGAGGACTTGCCGATAACTCAGATATCGCTAAACTCACCAAATCATATATCTCTGATATGCTCGTTGAGGATGTCAACCATCGTCAAATTGAACGTGTTGCTGCCAACGTCACCCCTTACCTTGAGCACATCATGAAGCAAGAAGGATCGGCCGCTACTGTCGGTAATGCTGTTCAACAGTTCTATCTTGAGGAAGACCACCGAAAGTTTGGACAACCAGTCAAGGAAGATGATGGCGAAATTGAAATCGTCAACACCAACTTCTCTTTAGCATACGGAGGTATGCTTTTGCTCAACCACACCAACCTGCGCCTTCTTAAGGGTCACAGATATGGTCTCTGTGGTCGCAACGGTGCCGGAAAGTCGACTCTTATGAGAGCCATCTCAAACGGTAAACTTGAGGGTTTCCCAAGTCAAGATGAACTCCGAACATGCTTCGTTGAGCACAACCAAGGTGAAGATGCTGATATCAGCATTTTGGACTTTGTCGCAAAGGATCCAGAAATTGCAAAGGAAGGTCGTGAACGTATTTCCGAGGTTTTGTGCGAAGTCGGCTTCACTGCTGGTCCAGAAGGTCGTCAATCTGAGAAGGTTGGATCCCTTTCTGGAGGTTGGAAGATGAAGCTTGCTTTGGCCAGAGCTATGTTGATGAAGGCTGACGTTCTTCTTCTTGATGAACCTACCAATCACTTGGATGTTGCCAACGTGAAATGGTTACAAGAATACTTGAAGGCTCACACCGAAATCACCAGTTTGATTGTTTCCCACGACTCCGGGTTCTTGGATGAAGTCTGTACCGATATCTATCATTACGAGCCAGGAAAGAAGCTTGCCGTCTACAAGGGTAACCTTGCTGCTTTCGTCAAGCAAAAGCCAGAAGCCAAGAGTTACTACACTCTCTCCGACTCTCTTGTCAAATTCAAGTTCCCTCCTCCAGGTATACTTACTGGTGTTAAATCTCAAACCAAGGCCATTCTCAGAATGTCCAACTGCTCATACACCTATCCGGGAGCTACCAAGCCATCTCTCCACGAGGTTTCTTGTCAATTGACTTTGTCTTCCAGAACCGCCATTATCGGTGGTAATGGTGCCGGAAAGTCTACTTTGATTAAGCTTCTCACTGGTGAAACTATTCCAACTTCTGGAAATGTTTACAAACATCCTAACTTGCGTATTGGATACATCAAGCAACACGCCTTGGAGCACGTTGAGATGCATTTGGAAAAGACTCCCAACCAATATCTCCAATGGCGTTACGCTAACGGAGATGATCGTGAGGTACACATGAAGCAAACACGTATCTTGTCTGATGAGGATAAAGCTCAAATGGAAAAGATGATTGATCTTGGTGATGGAACCGGTGCAAAGCGTATCGAAGCTATCATGGGTCGTCAAAAGTACAAGAAGACTTTCCAATATGAGATTAAGTGGGTTGGAATGTTGCCAAAGTACAACTCTCAAATCTCTAGAGAAACTTTGGTTTCCCTTGGTTTCAACAAGTTGATCCAAGAATTCGACGATCATGAGGCATCTCGTGAAGGTCTCGGTTTCCGTGAGCTTACTCCAACAGCCATCTCTCAACATTTCGAGGATCTTGGACTTGACCCTGAGATCGCCAATCATAACGAGATCTCTGGTCTTTCTGGAGGACAAAAGGTTAAGGTTGTTATCGCAGGAGCTATGTGGAACAACCCGCATCTTTTGGTTCTTGACGAACCTACCAATTTCTTGGATCGTGATTCTTTGGGAGGTCTCGCTGTTGCTATTCGTGACTACAAGGGTGGTGTTGTTATGATTTCTCACAACGAAGAATTCGTCGGTGCTCTTTGCCCTGAACAATGGCATGTTGTTGCTGGTCGTGTTACTCACAAGGGTACCATGGCTATCTCCGCTGATCGCTTCGAAGATAGCAGACCATCAAGTGGTTTCAACAGCAGTGTTGCAAGTGCTGCAACAAGTGCTAGTGCTAGTGCTGTTAACAGTGGAGCAGAGGATAATGGAGATCTTGGCTTCAAGGCCAAGAAGAAGAAGAAGAAGACCAAGAAGGAGCTTAAGGAGTCTGAAGTTAGAAAGAGACTTAGACACATTGAATGGTCAGTTGATCTCCTGTTTGCCAAACTTTATACTTGTACATCATACTAACAATATCTTAGGCTCAACTCTCCAAAGGGTACTCCTCATCCAGCTGACACTGATGACGAATCATAATGGAATTGGAACAAGTCAGATACCAAAATTTGCTTCTTGCATATATGTTCATATTCATTAGAACGCGGTCGCCATTAGAGGGTCATTTATCTCTGGATGGATCGACACGTATGATATAAAAGCGATGTTCTTCGCAATTTCATTTTATGATTTCATGATCAATAGGGTCATGTGAAAAGAATGGCGTTATGCGTACTTTATAGACGGGGTGGATGGGATCTAATCTTTCCTGATAAATGTCTTTTTGAAATGAATGTTTGAGTTATGATAGGACGGGTTTGTCCAGTAACTAGGAGGATAGATCAATAGATAGGTAGATAGATAAAAGGATGGGTGGACGCCAATGCCTATGTTCAGAGGCTGGAAATTGAATAGTCAATTTAAAAATATCCGTTCCTATGGAAGTGCATGTGTTAGTGAGAGAAATGTGTGAATTATTCAAGATGGAGATGGCGAGATTTTGTTTTTCGCCCCCTTGCACTGCTGGCTGGCGATTCTCGCTTCGCCTGGCCCCCACCCACTCTAGTTCTGAGTAGATAATTGGTTCGATCCCCCAATTTGGGGAGTGTGTGAGAAAGGTAGATACGTCTCCATCTATTTTTGAGTGGTTGTTTTATAATGGTATCATGAGAAGTCTACTTTTATATCTGTCTGGCATCTCCGCAATCCAGTTGTGACTAGGTATTTATTTAGATGATACTCAAGAACCTTTCTTGATGTGCGCACTTTATAGTATCATCCTCGCTTCTCTCTTTCTCTCTTGCTTACCTTGTACGTGTTTCGTCCGTTCCGTTCCGTTACTTTAATTCATGAAGCTTTTTGTTACAGCACACACCCAACTTATCTTTCTTTCTCCCCAACAGAACAGAAGAAATAAATCAAATTCATCATGTCCACCTCCACCATCCTAACCTCTCTCCATGGTCTTCCGGCCCACGCTCCTCTCTCTGGTATATTAGTAAATCTTGTATATCCGGATAGTAAAGGATGTTTGCTCGTTGGTGTTTCTTCTGCACTTTGGTCCCTTGCTTGTGATGGGTTGTCGTTGTCTTTTTGTGGGGAGGGGGAGGGGGAAGGGGTAGTGTTAGATGGAGATGGAGATGCTTGGTGAAGAGTTTTGTTTGAGGGATGGTAGGTTGGAGGATTTTGCTTTTTTGTGGAGGGCATGTAATGGGATAGTTGGGATGGGATTGGTATGGTTAGTCGGTTGGGAAATGTGCTAATGGGTGTTGAGATAGTGAGTTATCTGTTTGCTCCGGTGAGTATTTGGGATGGGGAGTGAGTTTTTATATTTTTGAATGTTCATGTGTTGAGTGGCTTGAGTTGAGTTGATTTGTTTCGTCTTGTGTTGGAAGGCGTTTGCGGTGTCTTATTATATTGCTTTGATTATTGATAAGTTCCTCGTTACTATCATGGAAATCAAAACACAGTCTTCGATTCTTCTTAATACTGTGAGTTTAGGTGTTACCCGCGGACCAGTAGGAAAACACCAATGGGATGGAATGATTGGGTACGTAACAAACAACTATTTTATAATCAGAATACTCCTCCCATCCCCTCTCCTCATCTCCCACAACTAATCACCATCCCAAACCCTCAGGCCATCGAATTCCTCAGCAACCCCCACTCTCCCCCTCACAAAGCTCACCCTCTTCCTTTCCTCCTCTATCTTGATCTCTCCCGCCCCTTCAAATGGCTGCGCATATCCATCTTCATCGGAATCAGCATCACCGTTCTCTTCTACTCCACTATCGGTATCTTGATGATTATCTGGAGTTCTCCCACGCAGACGAAACGCGGTAAATGCATCTCTTGACCATGGAACAACAATACGCCCAAATCTACATGTCGCCAGTCGGCGGTAGGATTGGGGATTGATTTGCTTTTGCTCGGTTGCTATTGAAGGCGGTGGGGAGCTTTGTTTACCGTGGAGGAGGAAGGTAGTTGTGTGGATTGTGTTTTTGACGGGGATCTTATGGGTGTTTTTCTTTCAGGCCATTCCTTTGATTTGATTTGATTCGATTTCATTTCTGGGCCTGCGAACGTTTTCTGGTGACTGGTGTTTGGATAGTGCGTGCATAGTTTCTGCTCTGAGCGTGTATTATCGATTCATCAACAAACAGAGTAACACGAAAGATACAACGCATGCTCTCCAGAACGTGATTATCTGTTCGTAAGCACCCTCTCCTTACATTCAAATATTGAAAGATTGTTTCCTAACGCAAACAGATTGCCAGAAATATTCATCGGAGTCATTGTTTCCTGTATGTCTGCAACGTGGATCTTCTCCGTCAATGAATTCCACATTTCTTGGCTTTGAAATGGAAATTCTTATTCGCGTCGGGGAGTCTCTGGAAGATAGGGAGAGTTGCTTGTGCGAGGTGAGGTTGCTTCGGGAAGAGGTGGTTATGGGTATAGGAAGGGCTCTTGTGTATTGTATGGGGAAAAGAATGATTTGTGGAAGGACTCTTGGGAGGACGAGACTTGCGAAACTGGGGGTTGAGCTTGCGAGGGTGGGAAATGTGAAGGTAGATTTTTGGAAGGGGTAAAGGTGTGCGTGGGTAGATGGAGTGCTTGATGAGAATTGTCTACAGCGAGATGTTTGGTGAACTTGTTGTGAATGGGTGGGGATAGGAGGGATGAATGGAGAAGCTTTGAAAGCTCGTCATGTGAGATTAGTGTTTGTCGATTCGCTTGACTCAGGGTACAAATTGGTGATTACTGGGGGAGAAAATGCTTCGAATAGAGCTTTTGGATAGCAATTTACCGGTAATATGGTTGCACAGGATAATGTGGGGCTCGAATTTCCAGGGCGACTGCAATTTTGTTGGTTTCATGTTGTATGTGCGGCGCAGACGGTGGTCAATATCTACCCGAGCGGAGCAGTCACTAAAATTGCATTGCTCAAATATTTGGTCCAATAACATAGACGGGCTAATTGAAAACAGACATCTAAAATGAGATCTTGTTTGGTAATCTACTGTCAGAGATATCTTAGGAAATGTTTTTCTCAGCGATGATACATCAGTGAACTGTGCATCATTCTTTCTCAAAGTATTTTTTACTCAAATCCTGTGATTCGAAATGGACGATGAAGTTATACTTATCATCGATGGATTCGGATGCATAGGGCATGGGCTACCACATTGTTTAAGCAGTTCCACAAAGATTGTACAGATATCCAGATTTTTCCCGCATGGTTCATGATAGACTTGCGGTTGTGACGGAGTGGATTTACTGTATGTATACTTTTGGGAGGGTGATGCTGGAGAAGTTGAGAATTCATATGATGAGGTATATTACGGAAGATAGGACGTATTCTATTGAGAAGGCGAGGGAGAATTTGGGGTATAGACCAGTGTATGATATGAAAGAGAATATTAGGGAGGGGGTGGAATGGGCTGAGAGTGATCGTCCAGAGTTGGGGGTTCCGAGGAAAGATTTAATTTGAAGGTGGCGGGCTCGGGGTGTTGGGAGATATGAGAAAGGATATAAGAATGCCTTGTGTGAGTCTGTATACAACGCATTAAATTTGAGAAGTATATTCCATCTACTAAAATAAGACATAGATTCATCTCATATCCTACGTACTCACAACTCCTGATATTCCACATCTACAATAGGAAACACAAACTTATCCTCCCTCCCACATTCACTCCCCCCGTATCCAACCAATCAACCCGAACCATCTCCGCCAGCAAACAGTGAATCTCTCACGGCCAAGTATAATCTCAAACGAACTCCCTCCCTCAACAAGTTACTCCAGACTGCGTGGTACAGTGGTCAATCCCACTACTCCCACAAGATCGTCAGTCGCAGCGACCGAATTGATTTCACTTCGCTTGGGTGCACATCACGAATTGTCGGCCGCACCTAATAGATCTAAAAAAATCGTCATTCATAAATTGATTAAAAGCCTTTTTTTCTATCTTGACTTGTTTGTTTTTTCGTGTGTTGGAAAATTTGAGGTGATGTACGCGAGCAGTACGTTTTGTGGAATCGACCGTTTAATACTAGTGAATGAATGATCGAGATATTGGGTGTGGTTGTTGGAGTGAAACTGATAGCAACGTCTTGCAACGAAAATATTGCTCTCTAGTATCTTGCTAGTTGTATATTTTTGATATCAATTGTCTGGTTGTGATTTATGGCTACAGACAGCAAGTCTTTAAGTCTTGCAACAATATCCATGTCTTTTCCTATGCAGAAGATACGAATACAATCAGAACTATCCTTAGATATTTTTCAGAGGAGAAACGGTCGATGGTCCGGCCCTAACAACTCCATATTTTAATATGCTCTGATGCTATATAAATATTAACCTGCATATGACTCTCATTAAATCTATGAGGGTGTCGGGAGTGGTATGATGCGAAGAGAGGAGAAGGAACATAACAGCATTCCCCCAGCCAAAACATTTCTCATTGTGACTCGTATGTATAACCTTAGGTCCTTGGAAGGACCTAAATTCATTTATTGAGGCTAAATATGAAAGCGAAGAGCTATCGTTGGCGTTTTAAAAAGGAGTGATTTCCTAGATGACAATGAATTACAGCATAAGATTCATAGTGAGAATATCAAGGAGTTGACTAGCTATGCTCTACATGGTCTGCATTTGGGGTTTGAAAGAATTTCACTAGGATCTACGTACCTAGTTTTGTCCGAATAAGATTGAGATTAAAAGCTATGGGGAAATTCGTACCCGATATATGGTATCTATGGATAGTCGTGATAGCTGGATTCCATGGAATAAAAGTTTTGTTGCATATCTGAATTCGGCTCTTTCTCGGCTCTCTCGAAAACGCGACGGACCTTGCTATTGAAAGAGTATACTGTGGGCCTATCCTCGTAGGTTTTTTGACAAGAGTAAGTCACAACCGCAGCTCATTTCAAAGCCAAATAGTCTTTCACCGAGTTTCTTGAAACAAACAAAAGAAAAACCAGTAGAGTGTGAAGCAGTTTGTCATATGTCCTCTAATATAGTCTAGGGGCTAGCGGGGAGTGTGATCTGTAATTGAACGTCAAGAATAGAGCACATCATGCTGGGTTCTATCAAGCGGCAAGAAATGACACTGATCTATTCTAAGCGACACCGATGTCCTCGATACTATGTACGACTAGATAACACTTTCCCTGTGCTTTTCTCTCTTTTTTTATTTTGGTGACGTAGAAATTTTGGTTCGATCAATGGATGAATAGACAATTAATGGCATCGTATGTGTGCGGGAGAGGAAGGCTAGCAAAGACGAGTTTCTCACGTGTATGCGGTGCTGGCTACGAAGCTGAGTAACACTTACATGTAACTTGATATTGTGTTCAATCGTTACCCAGAGCCGAGAGGGATAGCAAAATTCGAGTATATAATGGGAACAGACACAAGGAATCGACCGGGAAACGTTTCCTTTGACTGCCGTATTTTTGTTGCAGATTTGACACTTGTTCTGCGGGATTCTACCACCGCAAGACACTATAATTTTTCTAGAAAGATATGAGAATTAAATTCAAGACAGAAGCAATACAATTGTGTACACGGTATAAATAAATCAAGTTGGTCAGGGGATAGATTTGTGTCTAATATCATGGGGCTGCCGAAGCCGGAAGAATTGCGGTCATTGTTGTTTGATATTTGCACATACCGGCATCAATCGGCAACTCCTACAAAGACCTCCCGCGAAACTGGCACCCTTAAAGATCGGGCCATAAATTTTCCTCGTCCCTTCCAATATATAATCCCAACTGCTTAGTTTCCGAACTTCGGTTCTTGCTTCGCGCCCTCAATAGCTTTACAGAAACTGAGTCGACTCTCAGTGTAGAACTCAGTTGCGACTTTACCATAATCGGCAGCGCCGTCATCGAGACTCCTATTAAAAACGGTCAGTTCTAGATTTTTACTCTCGAATAGCAGCGGAACCTACCCAGCTTTGATACCAACAAAATCAGGCATGAGCTCGAGTTCACCAAAAAGACTGGTTCCGCAGTTTCCACAGAATGATCGCTTGTTCATCTTTCCCGAATCTCCAGGCATCTCAAATGTCTTTGGAGTTCCTTGCAGAAGCTTGAATTGAGATCGATCCAAAAGGACATTGGAGGAGGCGGTAGCACCGCACCACTTCTGACATGCATGGCAATGGCAAAGAGCAGTCATCGTTGGTTCGCCTGATAGCCGTTATTAGTGTGCTTCAAATTCAAAAGCAGATAATGACCTGGAAAGACGAACCTGTGTATTCATATTGAATTTGGCGGCACAAACAAGATCCTTTAGGCATGTTGAAGAATTAGGAGTTTATAGACTTGGGTAAAGTGAATATGGAAAGATTGTTTCTAGAATTGATGATTGTTCAATGTTTGGATAATCATTGTGAAAGAACGAGGAAATGCTGCTGTTTTATGCTTTCAGTGACGGCATTCCGGATCAGATTTGTCAGATATTTGCAAACGTTCATGACACTTAGCCCGGAAAACAGAAGGAAGGCAAGCTTCCAGAGCTCGTTGTTGTTTGCTCAGATCGCAGTTGAAGCATCCGCTATACACCCGCGCGGCTCATTGATAGCAAAACTTGCAGCAAACTTTAATTTTCGGTGCGCGGGAGGTAACGGGAGACGACCGTTTGGAACTGAAAACTTTAGACTGCTTAAGTGGCAAGCAAAGACACCGTGCATAAGCCTTACTAGTCTTACAATGGTAGGTGATGTAATTAGTACAAGTGTATGGATGATGATCATGACGTACCTACCTCCATGCTTCGCTCGTATTTGACACAACATGCTCAGATTGTGCTTTATGACAGGCTGATTTTGAAGAGATCCCTTTTGATAGCTACTTTGATACAGTCGTTTGAGACCATCAGCCTCACAAGGAGATCCCCAATTTTATAAATAGCGAATAGGGCGTTGCGGACGAGGATCTCCCGATATACAAGAATGTGTGCAGTCTTTTTTCTAGGTAATTACCGCAGAGTACTAGATCAGAGCTCCCTGCTGGAAAAATTTACATAACTAGGCTCTTATATTTCACTGCCTAGCTTGACGGGTATGCTGTAATACAACCGTAGTTACAGACCGATCTTCAGGATGTTGTGTTGTGTTCTGTAATGAACGGTATCTTCGTGTGTTGTACAATGTGTATCAACTTTCTCACGAGGTTGAAAGTTTAGGGTGAGGTTTGGCCCAATGAATTAGATTGATGTTTAAGCTTTTCAATGATAGCTGTGGTCGGAACTCGATGTGGAGTGGGAAGCCGCGCGGGAGAGACCAAGCATTCCTTCTGCGGTAACAAAACCTTATATAAGCTTTCTTAGTAAGCCTCTCGTTAGACCATCATGATTTGTAAAAAAGTAAGATTCCTCGTATATCATACAAATTGACTTTTCATGAAGCGTAAGTGCTTCGTATCGTCAGACTTGCCTTGAGAAATTATACTACAGTTTAAGCTTTTTCTCAATGCGGGGTAGGAAGCCGCGCGGGAAGTGCCAAGGATTTCGTTCTCAGCAAATTATGTAAGCTTTCTTTGTAAGTAGGTGCCGGTGGTGGAAGATTCATGTTTGCATGTAGCGACCTTGAGAGCTGAAACCTAGCAGAGTATAAAGGGCAGATTTCCTCCTTTAATCATGGTTTCATATCGAATAATTTCAGGACTTTGCATAGAACACCCCCGCATCATTTATTCATTCTTCCCTAACACAAACAATGGCTGCCGGTTTACCAACTACAACTAAAGTCTGGAGAGTCCAAGGAACGGACGGATTTGACAGTCTGCACTACAACGCAGAAGAGGCTATCCCAGAGCTGTCAGATAATGATGTTCTCGTCAAGTTCCACGCCGCTTCTCTGAATTACCGAGATGTCTCAATCCCTCATGTGCGCCTACACATTTCCTTTTAATGGAAAGATGCTAATATAGATTAGGGAACATTTCCATTTGGATTTAAAAAAGGTGTCGTGCCAGGATCAGACGGTGCAGGAGAAGTATTGGCAGTCGGTGCAAGAGTAACACGGTTCCAGAAAGGCTCGAAGGTCGTAACCCAATTCAACCAGAAGCATACTTATGGCTCGCTTACTTCGAAGAGCATAAGCACTGCGCTCGGCGGAGACCTCGATGGTGTTCTTCGTCAATATGGCGTTTTCAATGAGGAGGGCCTTGTGCTGATGCCAAAATCGCTGGATTATCAGCAAGCTTCCACTTTAACGGGCGCTGGGGTAACAGCGTGGAATGCTCTATATGGCCTCAAACCAGTCAAGCCGGGGCAATTTGTGTTAACACAAGGCACAGGCGGAGTTTCATTGTTTGCACTCCAATTTGCAAAAGCTGCGGGTGCTACAGTGATTGCTACAACCTCGTCTGCTGCAAAAGCTCAACAGCTGAAAGAGATGGGTGCGGATCATGTCATTAATTATAGAGAAGTCACAAATTGGGGAGAGGAAGCCAAGAAGTTGACAGGCTCAAGAGAGGGTGTCGATCACGTTATCGAAATTGGCGGAGGTGGAACCATGGCACAATCCATCAAAGCGATCAAGTATGATGGCATCATCAGTGTCATCGGATGGTTGTCCAAAGCAGATGAGAAAGAGCCAAGCTTCCTCGAAACTGTTAGCAATGTCTTCACCGTTCGAGGGTTGTTCGTCGGAAGCAGAGCAATGTTCGAGGAGTTGGTATGTTCAATTCTTTCCTCATTAGCTTCCATTCCAAACCATTTTGTGGGTTCTGTGCTAATGATTTGAAGAACGCTGCCGTTGACGCCACCAACCTCAAACCGATCATTGATCGTCGCTTATTCAAGTTGGAGGATCTCAAAGAGTAAGACAAAGCCCCCTCTTTCCTATTTATAGCAATTAGTGCTAACACATCTCAGAGCATTCACATACATGAAGGAGCAAAAGCACATTGGTAAAGTCTGTGTCACCATGGAGTAGATCTTCAGCTTCATCTACGATGAAGAATTTCAGTATGAGTAAAGGATTGGAAAATTTCAAATCCGTTATGATGTCTTCAAAGAAGTGGTTATAGTCATGAAAGTAGCGCCTAACGCTTGGTAACAATTTTCTGCAAGTAAAGTGCTACAAGGCTTTCTATCTAGATCACGTGGTGGTGAACTTCTTCAGGCTCTCAGATAGCTTACAATCAGACGTCAAGCAGGGCTTTAATAATGACAGTGAATGGTTGCAACTCTTAGTTGATATTGTTTTATACCAAATGATCGATATTGAGCACGAAGCCTGACTGATGTTGGGATCAGTAATTTCGTATCTCATTTGTCCTCTATTTTAGTGATACGAATTGATCTTTGTGGACACGTTCCTTGGATGGCTTGAACAGCCTGTCTATCCGTTCTATCCATAACATGATGACTGCTCAATCAGAATCGAGTGGCGAAAAACATGTTACTCGTTTTAGCACAAGGCTAACCAAGTATAACATTTGTTGCCAGGATCTTCACCCCTACATGGATATACGTATATATGCTCCCAGTCTTGAAGGATTCCACCGGCTAATGACTGAGTCTCAGAATCCTGGCGAGCTCTGAGTCCAGAACTTTGGTAAAAGTGGGCACAAACGTGGAGGCAAGCATAGTGCGCAGTTGGAATATCACAGACGGCATTGAAAATCTCACCTAGGAGACCCTAGCCCACACTCCTCGCTAGAGCCATGGTACAGACTCAACTGATGAAATTTTCAATCAGACAAGAAGAGTCTTGACCCCTAGACTAGACATGGCTGTTGTCCAGTTCCAGGGACTGCAAGGCTGACTTTTACGAAGTCTCCAACACTCTTCCATGATCGAGGACGCGTTCTGGAAGTTGCAGAAAACCCCTCGGTTCATATTTGCCGAAGCCGCAATCTGTCGAAATTCATCTTCGTGCTCTTCTTCTGCCATACAGCTAACAATACAGAAAGACCATACAAGATGGCGTATCCATTTACCATCGGGTAGGTCTTGAAAGGCTTTCAGGGCTGCTAACACGCTGTCTCTGATCTCCGGAATTCTAGGGTATGCACCAGACTGGGTAACATATAAATAGACTTTTGCAGCACAAGCGAATATGTGAGTGATATGTTTGCTTTCTTGAGCTCGAATGCCGCACGGATCAGAAATATCGCCAGTTTGACGGGCTCTATTTTCTCGTATGCCTTTTTCAATTCGATCCTCGATACAGGCTGCGCGCCTAGCCAGCTGGGATTGACTCAAATCGCCCAAAACCTCTCGCGCAATTTTCCACTCTCCCAAGAGCGCAATGTCCATGATAGCAATCATAACCCAATTCTGACTTCCCATCAACTTACAAAGTTGGATTCTGCCATTATCTATGCGTAGAATAGAAGGGTAGACATCAGAATACTCTGGATTTGCACCTATAGTTACGGAAGATATACCATCGAACCAGATCAGTGCCGTAGAAAAAAATTCGAGAGCTAATTCATCGTCCAAAGAAAGAACATCGGGATCGGATTTTGGGGAGTCATTCATCTCTTGCACTGCATCTAAGGTGTCCAACGGCAGAAGAAAATTGTCCTTAAGACCCATGAAAATAGTTCTTCCAGCTTGCAAATGGGTCTGCCAGTCATTACTATCTCCTTTCAAGATCTACCATGCATAATTTAGCAGGTTTTCAGTTCTCTTAGTTGTAGGGCTCACCTCAAATGAAATCAAACAGATCATACAGGCAAGTATTTCAACTTTGGTCTTTGTTCTGCCCAAACCAATTTCCAAACTCAGCCGGTCAATGTGTTGCCTGAGACCAACCAGTGCTAAACAATGGTGCTTTTGCAGGTCTTCAAGTATATTATCACAGGTTTTAGACTCATTACCCGAGTATATAGCGCTTTGATGGTATGCACTTAAGCTCAGTGCCGCATGATACAGTGGTCTCGTATGTAACAAGATACTCAGAAGCCATCCACGACCACCTTCTGAGGCCAAAGGCCTGTAGAATCTGAATTGGAGGGGAAAGACGATGTCTAGATAATGCATCAAGAGGTTTGCCTCGCGTCCGTGATATTCGTTAATCATGAGGTTCAGTGGGCACCCCACACACGATGGCTTCCGAGCTGCGTCGCTGGACTCTGTATCTGTCATCGAGCTGTCGGTAACGGGTGTGGATCCTGGGCCGTTTTTTGCCACGGTACGACTAACTATCTCTCTCTTACGTTTCTTATTTTCTTTTATGACTCCTTTGATCCGTTCTGATTCTGCCTTCTCTGACGATCCTCCATCCATCCAAGCGGGCTTCTCACTATAGCCGTGGCAAACGATGCGAAGAGAATCACACGTTGAACACTTGGGTCGTTCTTCCTGACATTTCTTCTTTCGAAGCCGACACGTCCAGCAACCAGTACTACTTCGTGCTGCAAGCATGATATCTTGATCTTTGAAGAGAAATGAATAAGTATCTATCGGTCTATATCAAGATAAATGCCGATGTAAGTTCTAGCAAATACGACGTAAGTTTTGATCTCCCGGACACTTACTTTTCCGCTCGGCTCTAAGCTTAAAGGGTGCTAGTTAGAGTGGGGACTAGAGACTTGTACCCTATTTTTAATAAGCACCTATGAGTAATACGATTATAGTGGATCAATATATAATATAACCTTATATAATCAAGATCCATACATAGAAGTAATTCTGCATCCCTTCCACACCCACGGAAAACAAGAACGATTTCGCTACTTCATCACTTCAACACGTGCTCTCAGAGTCAATTATATTGCATTCGTTATCATATGATAGAAATGTTATACTTATTTTGAACGTTTCATTTCGCATAGGGCAGGACGGACTGTTTTCGACATGATTCTTGAAACCAACGACTAACTGTGTATGGTTACTGTAATGTCCTCTCATCGGATTTTTTATGTGATCCTCCAAGTCTAAGTACAAAGTTGTTAGTACAGCAAAACCTCTCTATAAGGATACCGGTTTTTATAGACTTTTTTAAGGATATATAAAGGTATCCGACTAATCCCGATATAGTAGTAATCCACTTCCGATTAGTCCCGATCGGACTATATTCCGTAGCAATTTCGTAACTTTTTTTATTTTTATAAAAAAATAATTGACGTAGTTTAACACCGAGTGACTTATATCACCAAATAGTCTATTTTAAATATATACAAAATTCATTTATATATAACCATATACTTTCTTTATTTATTGATAGAATTTTTTGAAAATTGAATATATAAAATTTAATTATAAAAATATTATAGAAATCTAATCTTTTTTTGAAAATTCGAATTAATATAAGAATTATCATTAAAATAGTTTTTTTATAATAAAAATTATAATATTTTCAATTTTTTATTAAATATAATAGAAATATTAATAAAAAAAATAGATTTTTAAGAAATTGAAATTCTATTATTATTTTATATTTTTTTATTTTTCAAAAATAATGATTAGTTATTAAAATAGGAATATTCAAAAATAACCAATTTTGGTCTATTTTGAAGTGGGTCATTCGGTGATATAGGCCACTCGGTGTTAAACTACGTTAAAATTTCGGTATATTGATTATATAATAACTAATCCTGATAATTCTATTGGCCCAGTAAGGATACATATGATCCTGGAACCGAAAAAATCAAAGAATATCCTAATAAAAAGGTTTTAAGGATATAGGGCTTTTTTCGCTCTGAAAATTTTTGAGATCGAAAAATATATCCTTATAAAGAGATTATCCTTATAGAGAGGTTTTGCTATACCTTCAAATAACGTTTGTTGAGGTTTTGATATTCGAAAAACGTTGTTCTGAGTGTATTTAAGTGACTGAAGTCCGGATATGGCAGGGGGTCCTGATGAAGCACGATAAGCCGATCACTGATCATGTTGCAACGCCCGATATGAAGCGTTGTAATATCTATAAAAAAGTTTCATGAAGAAGATCCTTTCAAAATGAATAAAGAGTACTATATACCTTCTGCTTTTACAGTGTTCTATTCTAAATGTTTTCTACTTAACAGACTCGAAGGGGAATATTGTCAGTGCTCTCGTCACCTCCTCATCATTGTCTAGCGTAGCCTATTTCGTATTTATGTGTGCTCCTTCGCCGTCAACTCCAGAAATAATGGCCAAGATTCTCCTGCCAGCCATTAATTCGCTGCATGTCTAGACTCTTCAAGGTTGAAGAGCCGGCTCAGTGGCAGCTACGGCTTGTGCTATACCCCCCTAAGCTCCACCAGACAAACTAGGCGTCTCACGCCTGCAAAAACAGGATGATTTGACTGGAATATCTGCAACCGCAAGGGCTATTTTTAACCGTGGCTCTATGAGGCGCGCCTCTGTCTTGCGGCCAAGGCGTGTCAAACACTCGTGATAGCCCTGAAGAGCCCAGACATTGTTTGGATGTTGATGAGCACGAGGCAGGATCCCGTCAAGACCAAGGTCTGCGCTATACACTTTTGCGGCTTCTTCAACATGTCCTTGCTCCAGCATTAGTGCAGCGTAGGCATGGCGCGGTGGCTGCATCCAACCCCATGGCTCACTGTAGATAAGAGTGTCACTGAGTTCGATGGACTTGCGAAGACTTGCAAATGCTTCCTCATAGTTTTTGCGGCGGTATTCGATTTCTCCATCCAGCATAGCAGCACCCACAGCCAAGATATCAGCACAGTTGTTAGGATAAGCCGATCGGGTGGCTGGAACTCGCTCAACAGCAGATTTGAATAGAATCCGCTCTTTCTCCGCCTCCTGCACGTTGGAGGTTGCGGCGTATGCCACACCCTTTGCGTAATGAATCATAGCTGTAGTGACACAGTACAACTGACGATCAGTAGGTAACTCCATCTGGATAATATCTTGCCACATCCCAAAGCGAACCAAGACATGAACACCAATCGACATATAAGTCTCAAGCCAATCTGCCATAGGAGGTGACGGGACACGCAGCAAAGCCTCGGGACAAGATGCTTCCATTCTCGCTACAGCTTCAAGCGCGATCTTAGACTTGCCCGCAAACATTGCCGCATAAATCAAGGAGTGGTAATCGTGGAGTCGGTACATGGTATAGAAGTTGTTCGGACCAGATCGGCTTAGAAACTTTTCATCGGCAATTGAGGCTTTCTGGTTGCAGGCAATTGCGCGCCGGTAATCACCGATGAGGATATCTAGGTGCGAAGGCATGTGGCTGAGGTGACCAGCATCGGGTATCAGGTCGCATAAATGATCTGCCGCATTCAATCCAAGTTCTGGATTCGGAGACATCTCAATGCAGTGGATGTACATATGCAACAGACCTGGGTGTCGATACGCTCCATCCTGGTCCAAAGCGCGCTCAAGAACACTCTTGATCTTCAACGTGCGAGCGCCCGGGCTCGGATTCCCAGTGTGGAGATCCCATAGTTGCCATGGGCTCAGGTTCATCATCGCGTCAGCATAGAGAGTTGCTACGTCAATACTGTCCGGATGCCGTTCATAGACTGATTCCATAGCGTCAGCGTAGGCTAGATTTTGGGCAGAGAAATCCTTGACTGGGTGATCATGCGAAAAGCGAAATTGGATAGCGTCGATAAGCGCCTGCTCGAGAGTTGTCGTACTAGCGGCATTTGCTTTTGCATCTTTAGAGGCTTTATAAGTCCGCTGCACCGTTGTTTTGAGATCACTCTCATCAAATGTCTTCCACGGCTTGTTGTAGTTTGGGCCCAGGGCATATGCTAACCCCCAGTAAGCCATTGCACAAGAATTATCGTGTGCTATAGCCTGCTCGAAGCAAATGGCCGCTTCTTCGTGATTGAATGCATAGGCCCATATCAAGCCGCGGTTGAACCACACTTGCGCATCTTCGCTCTTGGTGCTGATGTCTAGCTTGAATGGCCCGAGGTTGTAGTATTCAGTGGTTGAAGGGATAGCTCCTCCTTGCCGAGATTCAGACGTCATCATAGGTGAGAGAATAGTCTTGAAAGTCGAAGGAATCGAATGATACAACTTTCAGAGTTTTATAATATGAATAGATATCAATGTTGAATATAGTAGTAATTTGGTTCTAGCAAAAGTGATACTGATATGAACCAACTAAGTTTCTATGTATAATCAATATCGATGTCAACTTCAATACCAAAGTCTGAACTCAACACCAATCAATTCTTAGAGGCTGTATTTATAGTCAGATCTCTTCACAGTTGTGGGGAGGTAGGCAGTAGGTATGAACCGTACGATATCGTACGATATCCCAACGACACTCGCGTAACATTCAGTCCGTCAACGATGATAAATCAATTGAGGTATGGAGGGTGCCTTGTCGGTAGAAGTCTAATGAATTATAAATCGATGGCGAGACTTGGCTCGTTGACCAGGTCGGAAACGTTGAGGCAATTATTTGCTCCCGCGCGGCTTTATGAGGTGCGGAGTTTGTTGACCTAAATTTATCTGACAGCTGTCACAGGCTTATTATATTCTATGCAGAGACTATGCAGGCTCGCAGGGTCGATTTTTCTCCCACGAATAAGAACGTCATCACTAGCTTCCGCCGGGAAATTGGAATTTTCTGGTGCACGGCTCCTGCATTCTCGGCTCGCCTTGCCTTCCGCGGAGCTTCTCGGCAAAAGTGCTTTCGAGAACTGCCTTACTTTGAACAAACCATCTGCATCTCTTGATCTTGACCTGGTGGTAAGCTCATGTCTCCATTTGTGATTCGGAATAATTTTGGTTTTGATTAAGGTTGGTCTTCGGCGGAGTCGACTGTGACTGCTTAGCAACCGATAGACCGTATTAACAATTTCTATGATCTAGAATAATGATAATTTTAACATATAACCTTATGGCTTCCTACCTCGAACAGTTTTATCAGTACTGTCCTTCAAACCAATCTTCTCATCTGATAAACCAATCGCTTTTGAAACTTCCAGCCTCCTGTCTAGCTCGACGATAACCTACAAAATGCTTCCAATTACACTTTATTCTCATCCTTTCGGTCCTAACCCATGGAAAGTGGCTCTCATTCTCGAGGAGCTGAACATCCCTTATACTACAAAGTTTGTGGATTTCTCCGAAGTCAAAAAGGAGCCATATACTCAAATCAACCCAAATGGACGGCTTCCATCTATCCAAGACCCTAACACCGACATTACACTCTGGGAATCCGGTGCCATCGTCGAATACTTGATTGAGAAATATGATGTCAAACACCAGTTGAGCCATAGCACCTTCCCCGAGATATATCAGGCGAAGCAGTGGCTGCACTTCCAAGCTTCTGGTCAAGGACCATACTATGGCCAGGCTTCTTATTTCAGCCGGATTCACCCTGAAAAAATTCAGAGCGCCATTGACCGATACGCAAACGAGATCCGTCGAGTCACTGGAGTTCTTGAATCCGTGTTGAAGACTCGAGACTGGTTGGTCGGCGACAAATGCACGTACGCCGATCTATGTTTCATAGCATGGCAAAGATGGGCACCTCGATATGGTGGTGAAGATCTTTATAAAGATTACCCACACGTGGAGGCATGGCTGGAGAGGATGAAGACAAGGCCTACAGTCAAGAAGATTTTTGCTGATCAGGATTTCGCCATGTCAGAGGCTGAGAAGAAATGAGCATTGTAGCATTTGGATAGAATACCATACATATTTTCAAGCTAGAGCACAATCAATTTCTCTTTTTCTGCTATACTCGCCTGTCGATCGGTCACTTTACTGGTAATCTTGTTCGAATTCGGAGAGAATTAGTTGCCCATGCGTATTCAACATATCCTTTTCATCAATACAAGTGATTCTGCATTCACTCATTGGACCCAATGAGATTGAACAGTGCCTGTACGTTGATTCATAGAGTACGTGTTTCAATGGAGGAGAAGGAAGAATTGGTTTTCTTTTCGAGCGGAGCGAGCTATGGGGGTTTGGAGGCTTGCGCCCATAATATATTGAATTGAGTTGAATTGAAATGACGCTCCGCTGGTCCTCCGGGGGCCACTGCCGTGGAGGTAGACTATTTTCCCTCGACTATTTGGGGAATAGAGAAACAAAAATAAAGGAGGAAAAGAATAATTAATTAAAATTGCACCTCGACATAGAACAGCTTCACGAGCCGCAACATCAATCTCTACTAGCATGCATGATACGTTCTAGATTTGTTCCTTTACTTGCGAGAGGGAAGTCAAGCTACAGTCATGAATACCATCTATATTACTAAAACCATCATATTCAACTTGTTTATTATAAGTATATCGACTTGCCATATAATCATAGTCAAGCTACCTACATTCTAATGATTTCGACTCTTTATATTATCAGAGGCTCTTATATGAGATATATCCTCAATCTTGACCGACCGTCACTACTTAAAAGTGAAGCAGATGATGAGACAATTAAATGTTTCATTACCCTGTTACTCTATTAATGTATAATCACATACGATCTTACATTCTAAACCTCTCATTACATACACCAAAACTTCTTCGGCAAATGAATATGAATACGCGAGGAGATGACACATTTCATCCTACGAAGACGTCGTAAAAAACAACTTAAAATTCGAAAAATTGATCGTCAATTATTTGAAAACATGCAGTCATCATCACATCATGACTCCCCGGCTTTTCCACAATTCTGCTAAGCACCTAAATTCTCACATGGAGATCAACGTCATCCCAACACTTCAAATACAACCCCTCACCCATCCACCAAAAATATCAATCCAATTAACCAAAAGAAAGCGAACCATAATTAGCTTAGTCGCCTTCTCTTTCGAAAGGGAAGCGAATGAACACTAACCCAAACACAGCGAGTCTCTCGAAATCCAGACATTAGCAAAACAATCACGGAATCTTCTTCTCACACTCCATTGGGAAAAGCCTCCCTAAGTTCTTCCCTTCAATCCTCTCTTCGCGAGTCTTCTTCATCGCAGCCTTATTGAAAACTTTATTCAACTGCGCACGATACATCCCCTCGATAACGTCTCGCCACTCAGCAGCTTGCGCATATGTGTAATATATCCCTCTCAAGTCCCCCTCGAACTCCTGACAAATCCTCGATTCAAATGTCAAGAATAATCTCGAGTCAAGAAACAAAGAATGCTTAAACTTCAATGGTTATCTAGAATTCGAATCGCAACTGTCAATATTCCCAATTATCAAACTCCTGATCCATCTCTCCATCCAGCTCTCTATCTATTTCTCCACCTATCTCTTACCCCCCTTCCCTTTCCTAATCTCCCAACCACAACCCCATAAAACCTATTCCCATCCCTCCAATATCCCGCCCACTACTCAGAAGTCAAGTCAGCAAAGCGAGCAACTATCCATCCAACATATCTCATCGCATATATCATACAATCATACATGACCACTTACCTCCCCAGCTATGCGTTCGCTTGCATGGATTTAGTACACGTAAATTTACACTATATCATCTATCTATCTATGATGATACACAAGGAACGATCTGACCGGTTGAGGGGGGCGAGGGGGATATTTGACCCTCTTCACAGTAATCAGGCTCGTGTTTTATAGATTATGTTAACCGTTAACGCATATCAATTTTGTCCAAGACATCTTAGATGGACTGGGGAGTTTTATTATATCATATCATATCATATCATATCATATCACATCGTATCACTTCACATCTCATGGTATTGCATGGTACTGAATGGTATTGTATTGCATTATGTTCATTGGTGATCAGTCTTGACCATGATTTATCGAGTCAATTATGTATTGTATCAAAGGCAACCTCAAGAGAGGAAGAGAGCGGAGGCTTGTTTATAGTATTGTATACATATTTACTTACTTATCAACAAGTAAGTTTTCTTTAGATAGAATGTGGGCTAGAAAAGTATCAAGAAAATCAAAGGAAAGCAAGCAAGCAAGCAGGCAGAGAAGAAACAAAAACCAATTCCAGAATTCAGATGTTCTAACCCACCTATTTCCGATCAAACGATCGCTGCACTTACCTACCTACTCACTCAAAATCCCTCGGATCATAAGGCTCCCAAGCCTCCTCATCTTCATCTTCATCGCCTTGAAAATCCCGCTGGATTTCTCTCTCTCCTATCCCTCCTCTCGCACTTCTAACCCCCCTCATAAACCCCTCCCTCTGCCTCGCAAACTCCAACCTCGCCCTATCCAATCTCTCACTCGCCCTCGGTCTCTCCTCCATCCATTCCCTCAACGGCGTACTAAACTGCGCCATCGCATTATGCGCATCATCCAATAGGATCGTGACACTTTCCTGCATCGCAAGCGCAAGATTGATCGTTTCCTGATCGTCGGATCGGACCGCGCGTTGGAGTTCCTGGAAGGTGAGTTGGACGTTGCGTTCTGCGTTGTGTTTGACGACGTTGGCTTTGTAGGACAGGCGCGCTTGGTTAATGATTCTGGTGTCGAGGGATCGAAGGGTGGAGAGGGCGTTGATGTAAGTTTCTTCGGCGTGTTGCATTGCTGCAGAGGTGCTTGATGAGGGACTGGAAACTGGGGGAGGAGTTGAGCGGAGACGATTTCTTTGAGGGGAATGATGTCTATGGGGTGGTGGTGAGGGGAATCTTCTTGGAGGAGGGGACTGTCTTCTCGATGCTGGTCCTCCGATTGGATAAAGAGGGCGGGGAGGAGTAGGCGTACTGAAATTCCCCGGCACGTCAAGTGGCATGGGTTCAAGCTCCTCTCCGACGTTTCCATCAAGATGATCATCTTCATTCCCACCTCCATAATCCGCCTGAGCTTGCATCATCTGTTCTCTTTCCTCAACAGCTCTATCTCTAACGCGTCTAGCAGCGATATTGATCTGTCTAATCCGATCTCTTGCCGCGTCTCTTGCCCCACCAGTAACATTACGAATTTCCTCGCGACAAATGGGGCAGTTAGTGTGGTCGGCGTCAAGCCAACGTTGAACACATTTTCGATCAAAAATGTGATTGCACGCAGTCTTAACCGGTTCTCCATTCTCTCCACCACCGAGATCGTCTTGACAAATCGCACAAGTGCGTTGGTCTACTGGGAGAGAACTCACATTGACTCTGGTTAGTTGTGGTGGCATCTTGAATAATGTGAAGCGGGGTGTCAAGCAAATAGTTGTGTTGAATTGATAGCTGTAGTGTCTGTGGTTGTAAGTGCTGGTACGTGAGTTAATTTAACTGGACATTGTATCCATTGCACTCGACACTTGACACGTTTCAAAGACATTGTTCTGAACTTGAACTCGACTTATTCTTGGAAATGGTACTTAAATATATGAGTCGCTTCAGAAAGTCTCAATTTCAGGCGGGTATTGAAAGAATGCTAATTTGAAACACTTGAACAACAGCATGGAAGCTAGGTGATAATTCGACAATTTCGACGAATAGAACAAAGAAAATAATTGCCGATCTGTTGTTGTTCATTGAAACAAAGAAATAAACGGCTTCACAAGCACATTGTGGATTGCATTCATTAAATCTTGAAACTTCTGTATTGAGCTAGTCGCTTAGAAATAAGTGACATGCTTTTCAGTGCACAAATATGGTATCTTCTCAAAGAAATCAAATACCAAAACCCCCTTCCAGTGCAATTAGCTGTTGACTTGCTTGTCTGGCAGCTGTGTATGCAGGTTTCCCAAAAGAAGATGAGATGGAAAAACACATCTCCAAGCAAATCCTCTATGCCGGTATAGTAAATATCTCAAAGTTGACAGCATTTCCATGCAAATGCGCACAAGAGATCATTAACAAAAACATCTCAAGCCTTGCCATCTGTATATATCCCCACAACACCGGATCGTGATACCCCATTCCCCAGAATTGCATTTATCATAATGTCGTTGTGCTGCATGAGATCTTTTCAGAAGCTATGAAATTTATTGCATTTGTTGCAAATAAAACTGTGATTGTCAGGTTCGGGCTACTAGATTAGGCGATGGTCCAAAGAGATCGGAAATATCCAAGGCTGGGTCTATGAAACCATTCTGATATTGTTGGAATCCATGACTTGGCCCACCATGTCCATTCATTTGAGGACCAGATGAACTGGAATGACCAGCCAATTGTGCATCATGTTCTCGTAGTAGAGGATCTAACGTAGATTGCATCTCTGGTGATTCTTGATGTTCGAGTTTTAAGGGCATCTGGGGGAGCCGAGGTTCAGTAGTGTAATTTTGCGCACTAGCACCCATCGAATCTGCGAATGGTTCAGACTCAGCATCTAAATCTGGAGATGATGGTTGTAAGGGAGGAGGAGGTTGTTGACGTCGTGGATTTTCGACACGATGGAAAGACTTTTCATGTCGTATGACGACATCCCTAGATAAGAGATCAGTCAACATGATCTTCTGCAACGAACATGATAGTCGCGCAATATTCAACATACTTTCGCGCGTATCTACGACCGCATAGTTTGCAAGGGAATGGTTTTTCCTGGGTATCTAGAGGTTGAACTCATATCAACAAAGGAACTTGCATGACTCGCACGATCGATTGTACTCACGACCACGTTCATGCCTTGAACAATGCTCACTTCTCTTGAATACTCTCTGACATACCGAGCAAGTGTAGATACGTGGCTGCTTCTGGACTCGGTTGGCCCTACTAGTGGTAGCACTATGCTGTCTCGAATTCATAATTCAATCGAGGGTGAGTGAGATAGACGATCGATGACTGTGTAATATCGGAAAGAACTCAGGAAAAGATCGTGAATACCAGATGAAATTAATACCAATCAGACAGGGAAATTGAAGACAAGGGATATATGACAAATGAGTAGTTGTCTCTCAAGGTAAAGCTACGTTGTTGTGTAGTTTGATATGTATCTTGTTGACAGTAGTAGGTAGGTAAGAGTTGAAGGTTAATCGGTATATTTGGAAAGAACGGTTAACCTTAGCGGGGTAGATAAGAGACTAATCCATTTTTGGCAACAAGTATTTTTTTGTGGTTTTTTTACGATGGTACTCTGATCAATTTGGATTCGATGATAATCTGGCGGGGACAAGAAGCACAGCACAGACTTTTCGTATGTGAATCTTTTGTACTTGTATATAAGTTTCCATATTTTCATATTTTCATATTTTATTTATCCACAATTGGTAATAATGACTAAATACACACTTTGATTATACCGGTACATACCGATCCACTTACGCTCCAAAGGAATGGACATCTCGGTTTCCGTATTCTATAATCGCGGCAAGCGCAGTTTCTCGATACTTGGAACACAGTCAAAAACAGTCATAAACACCCAACCATTTTATTGGGCTCTTTTCGGTAGCACTTATCGGACTTTAAATGACCAATCAAATGAGTCATATCCAAAACACGTGCTCACAGACTTCAATAGCATGATACGGTACGATACGTTATCACAGTTATCTACTAGGTATACCTGACTAGTAACCTAGGTAGTTCTACATAATTGAACCCAGCCCAACCAGTTCAATCCATTTCAATGCAGTTCATTTTACCTTAGGGCATTGGCGATAACGAAATGCTGCAAGATTAGTAACCTAGTAGATCATTTCAGCTCGATCTATGATGGGTATTCATAACACCATTCATTCAACCTTTGTGGCTTTCCTTCAGACGGGCGGGCTGGAATTTTAAGGTTTGAAAATACGGCGGCCATACGTCGGCACAGATTTTTATCAGAGCACAATGCACATAATCGCATTGGTTCTGAAATGAGCCATGGGATGATGCCAAGAAATCTTAAAGTCCCTCGAGGTTCCAGGAAATCGGTCGACGACGAGGTAAAAGATCTGATGAATGAAGATTTCAACCTTGGCACTCTCAAAAGAAATTTCTGGCATGTTTCATACCTACGAAAGAAACAAAATAGGGCCTTTCATGCTTTCTGGAAGCACCAAATTTAACAAAGTTCACGACCCCTATTCAGCATCAATTTTCTCATTCTTGGCACTTACGTTTCACGGCGTTGACCCAAATTACAATGAGCATTGGCAAATGCTTCACGATTTCGGACAATTACAAATGATATGCCAAGTGATATTGATAGATAGATCCACCAAGACGGCATGTTCGACGATCCATACCCGTAATTCTTCAGTATAAGTATTTAGCTATGTTCTTTCATTGTCTGTTTTACTTGGCTTGATCTATCTCTATTCATTCTTCTAGAACCTATAAACAAAGCAGTGATGTTTTCTAGAGATATTCTCCCAACTTTGGCGATTGTCACTGGTGCCTTGGCCCAAGAATCAATATATGTAAGTACAGAGTGATGGTAACAGCTATGACCATAAACTAATGAACCCTTAGACCTACACCGCCGATACAATCACTACATTGGACTTGTACAATGTTAGCAATACCTCACCATTTCAAGTCTACAATGGATCTTTCACTTCAATTCTTGGAGACGCGCCAGCGATTAGCAATATCATAAATTCTTCTTTCCCTCAATTCCATGAAGCCGCCATCTTTTTCGATGAATCAACTCTTTTCGTCACGAGTAACCAATATGCCTCCAATACCAGTTCTGCTGCCACTAACAACAAGGCCATCTCCATCACTCGTTTAGACAAATCCGGTGATTCATGGATCGCTACAGTTATTGAGCCAGAAGGAACCCTTACCCTCGCAAACGGAGGAGCAAAATACAACGATGGTCTCGTAATCTGCGACCAAGGATCCATGACCGCACCCGGTGGTCTTGTCTTTATGAATGCTACAGCTCCATATACTGCCAAAACCCTCATCAACAACTACTACGGCGTTGAATTTAACTCGCCCAATGATGTCCACGTGACAAGCGACGGAGCTCTATGGTTCACAGATCCATCATACGGTTCATGGCAAGGAATCCGCCCTCAACCCTTGCTTCCACCTCAGGTCTACCGCTACATGCCAGGTACAAATGACATCCGTGTCGTTGCTGATGGCATCCAAGAACCAAATGGTATCACATTCAGTCCCGATGAGAAAACCGCTTACATTACCGACGGAGCCGGCAATTCCACTGCCCCTACTGCACCAAGAGCTATCTACGCATATGACGTTATAACTCGAGGAGGTGAACCAGCTCTTACCAACAAGAGAATCTTCGCAGTACCACAATCAGGTCTTCCAGATGGAATTAAAACTGATGAGGCAGGAAATGTATATGCAGGATGTGGAGATGGAGTCAATGTCTGGAACGAGGGAGGTGTTTTGCTCGGCAAAATTGCAGTAGCCGGTGGTTCCGCGAACTTTATTCTCGGAAATGAGGGAGATAAAATGCAAGTGTGGTTATTGAACGAGAACAAACTTTGGCAAGCCAGTTTGGGTTTGTATAATGGTGTGGATGGTATTGATTCCGCGATGAATGGCACAGTCAGGAGATAATTTGGGATCTTGTAGTATTGAAAATTGTAGTATTATGGAGGAATGATGGCATGTTTTAAAAGTGTAATTATATAAAATTAGTCGCGAGTGTGGATACTGGGTATATCTACCTAGTATGTATGTTAAGTAGGCAGTTAATATGAACCAAATACCTACTATAATCAAATAAACTTTCCATTTATGCATCTCCTTCATCCCATGCACAACATACCTACATACATGAATCCATCCATCAATCCATCCATCAATCCATGAGCAAAAACACCTCCTCAAATCATCAACCAACCAACCACCCCGCCGTCTCCGGCGCCTCCCGCGCCTCCCAAGTCTCAACCCCCAAGTCTCACGATATTTCCCCTCTTACATTATTTGTGGAGAGAGAGAGAAGAGCAGAAGTGGTCCGGGACGTGGGTAGTGTGGGGTTTCACGCACCAGCATTTATAGTATATCTGGGGGCGGGCATTCCGATCGTAAGGTTACATATTTTATTTTGTTTTGTTTTTCCCAACCCCACCTCCTGTCGATTAGCATCCCACCATCTATCTATCATGTCATTTCATGTCATGTCATTGCTTCGACCCCACCATTATCGGTGGGTGGGTAGGTGGTAGGTGGGTAGGTGATGGAGCTGTAGCTACCCCGCACTTAGCTTCGTTTTCGGGAGGGGGTGGAGGGGGTGGAGGGGGAAGGAATGGAGGGATGGATGGATGGATTCTGGGGACATGATGTATGATATATGATACCCCGCGCTGGTGAGGAATATGAAATCTTTCTTTGATTTGATATCTGTATGTATATATAACGTAGTTTAACACCAAGTGACCTATATCACTGAATGGCCTACTTTAAATATATATAAAATTCGTTTGTATATAATTGTACACTTTTTTATTTATTAATAGAATTTTTTGAAAATTGAATATATAAAATTTAATTATAATAATATTATAAAAATCTAATCTTTTTTTGAAAATTCGAATTAATATAAGAATCATTATTAAAATAGATTTTTTATAATAAAAATCATAACATTTTCAATTTTTTATTAAATATAATAAAAATATTTATAAAAAAAATAGATTTTTAAGAAATTGAATTTTTATTATTATTTTATATTCTTTTATTTTTCAAAAATAATAATTAGTTATTAAAATAGGAATATTCAAAAATAATCAATTTTGGTCTATTTTGAAATAGGCTATTCAATGATATAGACCACTTGGTGTTAAACTACGTTATATATTCCTAAGTTTTTATCCATTTCAAAAACCAACATCCAAGCAAAATAAAGTAGAACAGGGGGAAAAGATGACAAACATATGCTTGATCAGTATATCTAGGTAATTTCGGGGATACTTCAACCATAGATAAATAAATAAAACAGATGCAGATAGGTATCGAATAATCGCGGATGAGCCCACGATTTTCAGTTACGTCGGTACGAGTAGATTTTATATGGAAATTTTGAAAGGATGATTTTGTGTTGATTTTTAAGGAGGGGGTACTCATTTATTCTGACCACCAATGGCCACCAGTGGACTTGCTTTTTGGGGGGGATGGGATGTGGAGATGGATTTGTGAGATATATCACGTGAGGAGCATGAATTGAATGATTGTGATTTGGTATTATATGGAAGAAATGTTGTCGGTATGTTTGCTCCTGTGATCGAATGTATTAAATTAATCGTGTCGTATTTTCATGAATCATGACTGCTGGGAAGTTTATTCTGAGAGTGTGAGTAGGGATGAAAAATGTGGTTTGAGTTGTCTAGATATTGGGGGGAAAATGAGAGAAAGGAATACTGTATGATAGATACATTGATGTGGTAAATATCTAGTTACTGAATATACCTAGTACTCACTCAAATTTAGATAAACGAGATCAGAAATTATGATGTTTATTCGTGTCTGAATATTTAAAATGCTTCGTTTTTACTGGCAAGCGATTATAAATACCTGTATTGATTTGTCATTGCAACGATATTTGATCTACGATATGATTGGGTGTCTTTTAAGATTACTATTGGATTTCAATGATATCATTTGAATACATTGATTTGAGCGGTGATGATGTTACGGTATTCAGTAAATCTAGATTAAGATAGAAAGATCCTGAGAATCTCTAAAACAGCAATCAAGAATAGACAAATTTAGCCTGTCTACTCGAGTATACTACCCCGTCTTAGTTCCACATCGCGAGTAGTTTACTTCTGATGACTTGAAGTTATTTGGAAGGTAGACAGTATTCTATTGTGTATCGCGGATCGAGATATACTCTTTAGCTCCATGTGATAGTTGAGGGAGTGCATAGGGTTTGCAGTGCATCAAATATTACTCGAAGAGCTGTGAGATTCGTATTGCTGGTATTTAATTTTGTTTTGCTGGATTGACAACAACCATGGTGTATCTGAGTCCACTGGTGATGGCTGGATGAGAGGCAGAAGTGCAAGACCTTAAGAGAAGTTTCCGTGTCATTCCCATTTTACAATAACGGAATAAATTATAAAAACTTGTCTCTGGAAATTACCCAGGTCTGTGTAGCATGTATGTAAAATGAAATTCTGCTAGATGAACGCGCTGCGAGAAAACTTTTTCTGTCAAACTGTTGGCCTCCACCGACGGGATATTTTCCTGTCCGGATGGGTGTTCCACTGATCAATATGAAATTTACGAGGCAATAGTGTTTCTACAGATAGCGTTCAGTTCTTGCTTGAAATGCAGCTATAAGGGGAAAGGTTTTGAGTGTTTTCCCTGTCCAGGGCAACAGGAATTTGGCCTGCTGATTTTGCATTCTCGCTCCGGTACTATACCTACAACCAACAATTAATTTTTGAAATGACAAGACGATTGATTGCAAATACACGTCTATCAGCCTCACTTAAATAAAAGCTGACATCCAAAATGAGCAATGCTCGCGAGGTTCGAGTCTTGTCACTAACATATTATGCAGTTGGTATATAACAGATAGTTCTAAAAACCATCAACACAACACCATCCCTAATCGTATGATTTGACTCTGGGACTTAACGCAATTCTTCACCGTTGCGAGGAATTAATCCGCTTGTCTATGTTTAAATTCCTCCGTAGCCTTTATTCGGGTCCCTGTTCAAGGCTGGGAAGTCCTGGTATTTCCTCAGAGGTTTCTGCTAAAGAGGACAAAACGTCGTGGAATCATCGAATGTTTGTATCTATGAAAAAAAGTTCAACACCAACAACATTTACCAAAATGTTGGATGACTGCATGATCTGGTGTCGAACCAACCACGGGGCGGGGAATCTGTCATAATTAAATTGCGGATCAATATAACCACATCATTGAATTCGACAGGATTAAATGCAAGATCTTCCAATTGATAGAAATGCCACCAAGAAATAGTTCTTGCTTGAAATTACGATCATGATTGATCTCGCAGGATCTAATCTGTTTTCGACATTGCTGTTGACTCTTGCAGCCATCAGCTTGGTGCGTCTCCTGAGATTGCTTGACTTTATAAACTCTTATACTGACATATAGATGTGATAGTACCCAGCAGTCACCCTAATATACAATCTCTGTTTCCACCCTTTACGAAAATTTCCAGGCCCGATATTATGGAGATCAAGTCGATTACCATATATTATCTCTCTAGTGCGAGGTAACCTTGTATTAGACCAGATGAAAATTCACGAAATATATGGCGATGTGGTTCGCTTGGCTCCAAATGAGATATCTTTCACGAAGGAAGAAGCCTGGAATGGTGTTTATGTACATCGACCGGGTCATGCAGATCCTACTAAAGATCCTGTATGGCACAAAGGTATAAGTGGTATATCTTGATGTATCGGATTGCTTCTTACTAATGTTGTCTCAAGCACCGGATGAGATGCCCCAGAATATTGTTACGTCCCTTGACCTGGAGAGACATGCTCGATTTCGAAAAGCGCTCAGTACTTCATTTACCGAGACTAGTCTGCGGAATGAAAGTCCTTTGATTGAATCTTTTGTAGACTTACTTATTGATCGCTTAAATGAATTGGTCTTGAGTTTTACATCCGAGGAAAGTAGCACAATCATGGATATCTTTCAATGGGCTAGTTGGTTCACAGTCGATGTCGTTGGTGGACTCGCGCTCGGCGAGTCTTTTGGTTGTTTAGCAATTAGTGAACTTCATCCCTGGGCAAACACCTTGAACAATTTTCTGAAGGAATGGTATATGCAGCGGCCACAAGATGGTATCCATTGATCGAGACAATGGTCTTCAAATTGCTCCCAAAAGGTGTGATGGAGATGCAAAGAAAACACTCCGAGTTCGCAAATGATTGAATCAACAAACGCCTGAATCTGGAAAAGCAAAAGCCGGACTTTGTTGCCTCGTTTATGAAGGATAATGTGGCTTTCCATCAGATTTCTTTGAAGGAAACTCAGTCGAACTTGGCCATTCTATTGGTGGCTGGAACAGACGCAACTGCAACATCGATATCGGGAACGTTACTTTACTTGGTTCAGAACCCAGAAAAATTGAGCAAACTTGTCTCTGAGATTCGAGGGACCTTTTACCGCGAGGCGGATATCAAAATTGCGATACTACATGGTTTTCTATACTTCAATGCGGTAATAAATGAAGGATTGAGACTTGCGAATCCGGTTCCGGGTGGTCTTCCTCGAATTGTTCCCCCAGGTGGTGAAATATACGCCGATACATTCGTGTCAGCAGGAGTAAGTACACTTCATTTAATCCGATACCCCAATGTTACTGACCATCGTAGACAAGTATATCCGTCCGATCCTACGCCATGAGTCGCTCTGAGAAATATTTCTCTTGTCCAAATGAATTTCACCCAGAACGCTGGCTTCCGACAGGAATTCGACCATACGAATTCGAAAATGATCATCTCTCAGTGAGCCAACCTTTCAGCATTGGTCACTCTAACTGTATTTGTAAAAGCTTGGCCTGGGCAGAGATTCGGCTTGTCATTGCTAGGCTTCTGTGGGCATTCGATGTGGCTGAAACTGGGAAGCGACTCGATTGGACAAAGTTGAAGACGTTGATGATTATTCAGAAAGAGCCGATAATGCTCAGCATTAAAATCCGAGAGGGGATTGGTGAACTCAGGAAAGCGGCGTAGTAAAGCTGGACACCTTTGATAGGAGTTTAGTCAGGAAATCTCTTATTCATTCATGTGCTCTTCAACCTCGTCTTACTAATATCTAGTTACTGTTGTAGCATAGTTCAAATGAAAACATGTTGTCTGCATTGCGGACCATGCTAGATATCTTGTATACTGATGTGTGACTACGTAACAAAGCCCTTCGCCCTACAAGATGTTTTAAGAGCGAAAAGCAGCAATTCCAATGCTACAGCAAAAGTCTTTGATCACCATTCACTTTTTCGGCATTAGACGTGCTTTACTTTTCGTTTTTTTTTTGCAGCCCTTCTGTGTTCATCTTAATTCGTGCACTGCTTGGAAATTCTAACTTCGGAGGGAAAAGTTTCTTATTGACTTATATGCTGATCGAATTCACTGGGTAGATAAGGATAACAACTTCTTTCGATAATCACCTAATCTCCTAGAGTGAATAAAAGGCAGTCTCCAAATTTAACAGTCCAACCTGGAGTATTTCATCTATCCACCACATATTCTTCACGTTCTGCAACTCGGACCAGTCAAAGACATCCCGCTTGAGTGTCTCAACTATCCAAGCTTTCTCGTCTTCTATAGTCGCTGCGCAGCCAGCCATAACAAGAGTCCATACTCTTAGACTCTTTACCTTGGTATGCCATATGTCTCCGTCGCTCTCTAGTAATCGACGCAGCTTGGTGATAAAAACGTTGGTAATCACGGGCGCAACGCCGAACCATCTTCTTGTCTGGCCAATAAATAGAAGCCCGCCAATCCTACACAACTCTTCGATATCATGCTTGGGCTCTTTCTGTATAGTCAAAAATCTCGACAAGATCGGATAGACGCACAGACCAGCAAAGTTCTGGTCTCCCCAAAGAAATTGCGCATCTTTCGATAGATTTCTCTTGTCACTTTCGCGAATTATCGTGACTGTGAGAATACTCAACTGCTTCATGATATCGAGAATGTCCACAGAAAGAAAAGATGAGATATCAGAGTGCTCACAGATGTTGACAAAATAAGCTTCGCCCTCAGCTTGATACCTTGGAAGATAAGGATTCGTAAAATATTGAACAGGCGGAGGAGAAAGAGGCACCATATCTAAATCGCTAGACATATTATTCTCGATCCAGAACAAAGAGAGACGAATCGGTGGGATATTTTCGATACTTGACAGTCCGCCTCGCAAGCCCAATATTCTATAGAAGCCAGCCTGGTGGATCTTCCACCTCTTCGGATTGGAGAGAAGATGCTAATAGACTTAGTAGATGCTTTCTAAAGATCGCGGAACGACTTACGTCGTGACACATGAACTATACTGAGTTAGTATCATGGAAATGAATGGAAAAAATGGTATATCATAATAAAAAACGCACGCCAAGTATAGCCCCCAGGATTCCGTCTGAATGTTCTACACTAAAGTTTGCTAATCTTCGATTCACGGATCTGACAGCTGAAAGATGATACGTCATCGATTCACGATCCTCAACTCGATTACCTTTAAGAGCGTTAAGGTGTAGGGCAGCGTTAGCCAACATCAAGTGCATTGCCGCGGAATCGTTTGTACCAAGCGGAAACCAGAAGTCTCTGAATGGCTGGAAGCATTGTGCTGGATCCCAGACTGGACGAGAGTTAACAATTAAATTGACCAACCTGGGAAAGCTTACTGTGATACACCAGCTCATGCTCTTGGGCATCCATCTTGACTGGCCATGCCTGAAAGGGATTCACACGGCCATTCCCCAATAAAACCATTGAATTCGTTTGCAAACCCATTAGAGCTTCGCTTCCTACTTCTGCTTCTGTGTCTATCTCCTTCCCATTCGCGTGTGGGATGGATGTCTGCAGTGGAGACGCACCAACACAAGAATTTGACGCAATTTTCTTCAGACCATTTGCCCTTTTCGGTCGATTTTGTTTCATGAATGGACGCATCACATGTTTTCGTACTAGGGTCCTCGTCTCCTGTTTCCCTTTTGCCGAATCAAAAGGAGTCGAGGTTATGAAAGTGTATTTTCCATCTTCGGGAAGAGTATTGGTCACCATATTTTCCTGATTTCAGGACGCCTCAAATTTACAATGTTTGCGTATACACACTCACCCGGTGGGTAAAGCTACTGTGAATTTATAGTCTTCGGCAGCTGCAACATCGCACATCAGATTCGAGGCTGAGATTACGCCAGGACGTTTCAATTTTTTAGCTATAAAACATGATAATGGCGATGCAGGACATTTTTGGAAGGTGCTGACATTGATCGGATCGATTACAAATCTAATCTAACTGCTTTAAGGCAATGGCACCCTGCTTTTAAGGTAGGATTAATGTGGATATGTGCCAAGACCTTTGTGTTCGTTGCCAATCGACATCAGACCTTGAACCGTTGCGTGCACTGTGATCAGAGACTCGTGCCTTTTTTTATATTTTTAGCAAGATCAACGATTTTGCAGGATCGAAGAGACCAACATTATGTGAGAACTAAGTTCTCTTATATGTTGGGCAATCAAAATGATCGTACGGAGTTAATATAATGAGTTCGAAAGGTCTGTGGTGGGGCAGACAAACTTCTGGACCCGTTTGCCGAGTTGCAACGAGCCCACCGATGATAAGCTTTCATCTATCTTGTGGTTACAGCGTATTCATTCCTACAATATAAGGGCTTTGATTTTCAAACCTCAAGACGGAAGACATGTAGTGTCTCTCTTTAATGACCTTTCCCCGAAAATTGCACCGAAATATTCATGAGCTACAAATCCAACTGAGCACAGAAGACTATTGTAGAGAACCTATGTACCAAAACCGAAATCGTTGCTCAAGCAACCTGCCCTTTCGACTGGCGAATGCCAATAACCTTGATGTCCCGCCACAATAAGACCGCCGCTAAACCGATAACCCAGACAACGGTACCAGCAATCAACAATCCTCTCTGCGCATCGCTATAGGCGTGCTGAATTGCAAGGCGCTCAGTCGTTCCTGGTGGGAACGACAACTGTGTCGGCAAGGACTCATATATTAGGAGTAGATCTGCTTGATCTATATCGGGAAGATTTGCAGAAAGCTTGTTGGGCAATATACCCTGCCAGATAGCAGCAGAAATGGTTAGACCAATAGCTGAACCAATGTTTCCAAACAGGCCCAGCACAGCCAGGCTGACGGCGAAATATTGCTGCTCTGCGGCGGCAGCCATGATGGCGATCTCGGTACAGATGACCAAGACTCCCTCTGCAAACGAAATAAAGATCATGCACATGACGATATACCCAATTTCCTGGTCAGGTTGACGAAAGTAAATGAGGAGCGACATGCCAAGGATCGTCAGAGGAACACCAAAATAAAGTGCAATGGGTTTGTAACGTCCAGTAAAGCTGATGACACCGCCAGTGGCGAGTGCGAGCAGTACACCGCCAACAGTGTACGTCTGCATGACATAGCTGGCCTCGGTAATACTCAGGTTGTTCACAACTTGTAGAAAAGAAGCAAAGTAGCTGGCCCAGCAGGAGTAACTGATGAAGAGCGTAAAGGAGAGGAGGCAAGCACCAAAGACTGTACGGTCCTTGAGGAGAGACCATGGAATGAATGATATAGTGGCGAAGAACTTTTCCCATATGGCGAAAGCGACGATTAATACGACTCCAAAGACTAGGAAGCAGATGATAAGTGAAGATCCCCACCCTTTTGCCTCAATAGTGTAAAGGTTGAATGGCAATAGAAAGAACGCGACGCCAGCAGATACTAGAATGAGACCAATGGCATCAAACTCGCGGCAGTAGTAAGTAGCAGACTGCCAATTAGTGCGTCCACTATCATTCTTTTGTATGATCTCCAGCTTCTTAGCTTTCAAAAATTGCCATATGAAAAGGCCAGAAAGCGGAAAGGTCACAAGCGGAACAAGAATGGCGAAGGCTCCGTAAGCCCAGCGCCAGCCAGGTCCATTCAAAAGGTCTGTTGATATCGGCCCACTTAGCCAGCAAGTGATCAGATTTGGGGAGCTGACAAATGCCTGCATCAGACCTCGATGCCGGATTGAGGATGTATCTGCGACGAAGACACTCAGACTGTATCCTATACCATTTATTCCAACTGTGTAGAAGACTTGAGATGCTGCGTACGCCTCGACATTGTTACAACTGGCCGACATGGCAAGGCCAACGGTGCACATCACTGCGCAAAGAATATATCCCTGAGGACGACCAAAGATATCCAGAACCTTCGCAATGCTTAGATTGGTCACTCCGCCAATAACAGCGCTCAATATGCTTGTAGTAGGCGTAAGGGAGTGCAAAGCGAAGTCCGACGTGATGTATGGAAGGAGAGAGCCACTGACGCCAGACACCAAACCTTGAACAAAGTTGGTGATCCAGATGAGAATGTAAGCAACGACGAGCCAAGTCCTCGACCATGTCATAGTCACGGCCTCAATTTCCTGGACGCCTTGTTGTAATGTAGTGTCAACATGTTCCTCGTAGGAATTAACGTCAATGGCACTTTGGCCAATCTCAAGCCTTTTAAGGTCCACCTCAGTACATGCTTCATTTTGGGATGTCATGATCGTCTTCTGTGAAAGCTTTCAGAGACTTTTTATGCTTGAACGACGAGCGGTCTGAGGCCGAATCAAGAAGCAGACGAAAAGTCCTGATGAGTCAAGTTGAGCAACAAACAGAGCTATTGCTTCTTTAATTCCGAATTTGTGGGAAGATATAGAGATATCTCATGGTAGCGATGCAGAAGCTTGTTAGCTTGCACACTCATGATTATACTTGCGCTAATATGCTCAATTTCTGTACAGGGGCTTTCAGGCGGGGATTACTATCTGATGATGAATACAACAGTGGGTGGGTGAACTTTGCATTTCCGTCAATTTTTTCAAAGCGTATTTAAAACACAGCAACGATACAACTCTTCAACGAGTTCAGATTCTAAAGCTAGGTAACTTAGCAAAGTCAATGCCCGAGTTAATACTGGATTTCCGAAGATTCTCACGTTGCAGTTGCCGATTACTTGTCATGGGAAGAGGCACGCTGGAGATAATTCGTGCTACCTGATAAAATCGACTGGAATTTGAGGCATGAGCAAGTTTGAGGAACTTAGTCAGTACAAGTTCGAATTAGCCGCTCCTTGGCAGCTAATGAGATGTCTTTCCCTCTCTGTGCCCCACATGAGCTGTTAAAATGCCGCCTGTACGGTCAAGATGGATAGAAAGCAATGAATTCTTTTGCTACAGTTTACGTGTTTATTCTATCTAAGACGACGAATTGACGTTCGTCTCGGTCGCTGTTTTTCACAAAGCCGTGATGACTTGGCAGAAATGGGGTTTTGGACAAAATTTTCAAAGACTCTAGCTCTTCGAAGGCAACAAAGGTTTCCCAATCCCAGCCATTCCCGATAGAGAGGCAATTGTTTAACTCTCCACTCTGCTAGATATCTGCCTTGAAGTGGTTGATTCTTTTTGCGACTCAAAAGGTAGGCTTGCTTAATTTCTCCTGGCTCACATCACGATTCAGAGATCAGTGGCAGTGAGCGTGCTTCGTGCCTAGTGTCTTCGCGCTCGATGGAACAATGTATCGTTGCCCGTAGGAAAGAACAATCGTATCATTACTTTTTTCTTCGGAAACTGAACAGATGGGTTTGACGAGGTGTCTAATACACAAGAGTTACAGGAAAATTAGTAAGTTTCGAGAAGCCTCTTGACTAGACTCAATCCTCATCACTAATGATGCGGTCAATCCATCGCCAGTTAATCTTGAGCGGTAAGGCAAAGTTGTACGATATAAAGTGAAATTTCATAGGGATTCATCTCATTTGCTGACTGCTTTTTGATTCAATGGACGACAGCTAAATCGTTCACGACTTTGTGAATAATTTCCTTGCTATATTTGGAGACTGTTCAGATCCGAGTAGTGAAGTTTAAGCACAGGATTTACCAATGTTTGATCGATCTTCGAAAGTAAATGCAAAGCCAGTGATAATGATGTCTTGTATGGTTCAAAAGAGATAAATACTTGTATTTCAGTGCAAATAGAAAACGCCATGTTATCAAATTTTGTGCATCCATTTACAAAAAATAAGTTTTTGAATTTGTAATCGTGAAATACCCCACCGGGTTACATTTCCCGGGTGGCTCGCGAAAGTGTAACTCGGGCCATGCGGGAACCCGCATGACGGTACTCGGTTCATTTCGTGATTCCTGTGACATTTTCCGCGACGTTCAATTGCCAAACCTGATTTGCAGATATGAAAAGCCTGTGAAATCATGGTTCCGTATTGGTGGCTTTACGGCAGTACCCGAGCCTACAAGCCGAGGGGTAGAGTGAGTGGACCGATGACAGATTTGGCGTCTGGATATATTTAGATCATCACATCCAATTCATCGAATCAATTGAAATTACATTCAAAGCATACGATCTTGACATGACTCAAGATCCACCTTCTCGAGCTCTCTGAGCATCCGAAAAGTTGGAAGCTCGAGCCAACAATGTCGCATTGAGCTTGAGGTTGACCGGCGATGTACGGGATCTTGAATATTCATTTCGACAGATATCGAGCTACATCATAAGGTCCCAAAATACTACTTTGATATCCACTTCAACATTTTTGAGCGTAAACTCAATTAAACTTAGCAATGATCGCTGCGATCGTGGGAAGTCATTGGTTTGACTTCTATGCGGCTGTGGAATTTCAAAAACTGTTACCTAGAGTTCGTCTATGAAGAAGTTTTCAAGGCTGTTACTTACCGTGATGGAGCGTTTTGATAGCTACCCCAAGTGAGGCTGTTTCCAGTTCTGAAATATATAATAGATATGCTCGAGAAGTGTTTGACAGACATTAATTTCCACATCACGCTTCTACTCTTGTTCTTGTGTATTGAACAGGATCAATTATACAGTCAATCCGTACGAACTATTTTCACAGAGACACATTATTAGCCATAGGGGCCGGCTTGGAATACAAATCGAATCGTTTGTTCTGTGTCAAGGTACTATCATGCGGTTCAAAAAGTCTTCCGGTATGGAGAAGTATTCCACGATGTCATCTACCACTAATCCTTGCATCACGGTGGTTTGCAACGAAATTCTGGATATTGTCTTTGATTACGCCCTCAATAAATTCGATGACACCAAAGATCGACATAGCGCGGGGAAGCCCAAGTTTTTGGCAGTCATCGAGAAGTTCGTCAGCAGTGGAACACCGGTGGATATGTGCCTTCCAGCATTTCCCTTCAAGTCATCAAACAAGGTACATAAGGTCTTCGGCATTCTACCTGACAAAGCCGAAGAGATTGCTCTTGATAGACTGAACACAATGTGTTTGCGTATTGAAGAAGTCTATCAGCCTGGAGCCAAGTGCACAATAATTTCAGATGGACTTGTTTATAATGGTTTGCCTATCCCGTATTACCTACTGATCTTAACCCAAACTGTTGGCTAATTAAAACCCAGATTTACTGTGTATATCGGATCGCGATACATGGGCATACGGAGAGGCCTTGCGTGCAATGTCTATCAATAAAGGTTTCGATCACATCAGCTTTTCTAGAATCCAAGACTTTGTCAATTTCCCATTGCCAGAAAAGCTAGATGAGATCACTTACGTTGCCAATGCCACCAACTTTCGTCTATCTATGATCAATAGATGGGGTAAAAACGATATCAGTATTGAAGATGAGATCGCGAACAACCCGGACACGAAAATGACTTATCTCGGATATCGAAGATTCCTCGAGTCGGATTTACGATATATTTTCCCCCTTGGCAAAGGTCGAAGTAATACCAATTACAAGAAAAACGTGAAATACCTCGCTAAGCAGATGTTGATTCGAGGATATGTAAGTCAAGATACAATCAAGACCCAGGCTTCCACTCACTTTGCTAAATTTTTGAAAACAGGCTTTTGCGGGAGCGGTCAAATATGCTTTTCCCAACCATCTACGTCTTTCTATCCACCAGTCAACAGGTGATCATAAGATTTCTATGAGTTTGCTTAATACAAAAACGGGGTTTACAACCCCTTGGCATTGTAGCGTTGCTCTAATGGCAGACGGGGAGTGGATAAGCGCTCCAATGGGGGACTTTAAGGAAAATGAGAACTTGGAAGTTGTCTACGAAGATGGTCGTCCTAGCTACTTCAGGGAGAGAAAACACGCTGTCGAGCACCAGGTGGATGATACGAAATCATCACCAACTTTGAGAACGTCGAAGGGCTTTGAAGAGAACTCTTCCAGGTTCATTGACAACAAAAACGCTGCTTCAGAGAAATTCCAGCAACGATCGTCTGTAGTAGTATCCATATTAGCCATTTGATATACGGATGAAGACAAGACAGAAGTATTTTAGTTGGACCTGGCTTGTTTGATCAGTCATTTGTTTGAGATCATTTCAAATTATCTTTATTGAGAGATAGGAAGAACACAGTATCTCAGACTAATGCTTGACCCTATCATTGTGGCGAAGAGGAAATAGATGCTTGTAGTAGTGAGAACTAGCGGTAGTTATCTAGATACATGGAACAATTCCATAAAGCTATTCAGGCAATGGAATACGCATTTTGCTGCGGCCTATCCAATCAGTATTTAGCCACACCTCCACAACAGCAACCAAAACTTGTATCTATTCCATCCATCCATGATCCGTAAATTATGTAACAAATGACTCTCTAGTCCATCCAAACCACTTACCTAATCGTTTTCCCCACGCCTGCAACATAGATTGTTCAATCTTCGCAGTGGGATGTGGCTTGTGGAACACTATCCTACCACCATCAACAGTATTAAGAAATGTAACACAAGAGCCGCCAGACTCCATTGCTGCAAATCCGGCGTCGTCCATGGCTGAAACAAAAGTTCTCCAATCCAATGGCTTGGCAGCGTACTCTTCAACCGTATTGGGGAACATACGCGAAAGAATTGGTAGATTCAGCGACTTGATATGAACGGTTTTGTGTGGATTTTCTCGAGAAGGATCATCTTCGCTTTCCACACCGGGAGCTTCTGATTGACTGGAAGTCTGCTGCTCAGGTCTCGTCTTCGTCTTCTCCTTCGAACGGTTAGAAACGTTCGAGGTTGAAAGATCTTCGATAGCATAAGTCAAATCCCAGTTGGTATCGACGGTGGTCGGTTGTTGTACTGGCTTTTTGGATTGAAGAATACTTTCTCTTTGTAGTTTTAGCGCGAGAAGATGCTCTGGAGCCCTGTCGTAGGACAACATAGTCATGTCGTGTTCGTAGTCCTTTTCGGTCGAGAACTTATGTTTCTTGAGTATGCTAGCATGAATTGTTCGCACGTGGGCCCACAAGTCTGACGTGTTATCTCTGGCCTCATCTGCTTTACTTAACCAAGCTCCATCTTTTTTACCTTTGGGAAACGGTGTCAATTCAATAATCTTGAGAAGCTCTGCTAAACGCTCGGTTCCTTGTGATCTTTCTTCGTCTGGGACCCCTCTCCAAGCTAAGCGCCCTCGGCCTTCTATCCGAGCGGTGTCTATGTCTGTAGCTTTAAATAGAGGTCTGTGTTGTCTTACTGCGGCGAGTAACTCGTAGGTAGTTGCGAATTCGTATAATATCTCGAGTATCTGTGGTTCAAGTCGTTGTTTGTCCTGCGCCGTTGTCGTGTCCTTATTTAGCCAATCAGTTAAAAATCCGAGTAACATCGAAGCGTCATAATTATTCGGTTCTTCAGGATCTGCAGTTATCTGAACTATGCACCAGTGAAGATGATCACCGTAGAACATTGCTTTGCTTGTGGGAAATTTATCAGTGTTCAATTTAGCACGGACAGCATTGCCTGTATCAAGAATCTTGTAATCTTCAGAAAATCTTCTGAAACTCGGGAGACAGTCGCCGAGCTTTTTAAGTCGTTGAAGTAGAAGATTGATCAACAATAACTCTAGGCAAGCAAGAGCCATGCTGTATTTCCTTGGCAAGTCTTCACCACAGTTGATGTTATCCCGGAACCTATTGCGTTAAGCCTGAGCATGTTCAAACTCGTTGACAACCCACGACCATCTCTGCACGGTGGTGAATGCTTTGTAACATAGCATCCAAGAAGAGTGGGGAAGAAATCTATCACCAGTGCCCTTAGATAGCCATCCTTGTCTCGCCAATTTAGCAAGATATTGCAAATAAACTGGATCGGTTTGAAGAACCCACAGATGATCTTCAGCCTCATGGAAAGCTGCTTTTGAAATATTGAGAAGTCGATCAAGATCGAAGATAGGCGCCATGAAAGTTTGATCACTGAAGTTAGACCACGCGATAGAGCTGGAAGCGCCACGAAAATCACTGTCGACAAGCATGTGCCATTTGCTTGAGGAGCTTTCTGTATCAGCACCTAGAAGAAGATCTTCGACTGTACCTCGGAGTGTTTTGAGTATAATGGACTGGACCTCTAGAATTAGTCTTCCACGAGGAAAGCTGATGATGTCCATTTGATGGACCTTCGTGGTATTCCATGGTGTAATATCACCGTAATTTGATCCATAAATGACCACACAGCAATCTGCATACTCCGTGCGAAGTGCTCCGGTCACCCAGCTTGTTGTCATTGAATGGTTATCGAATGCAACCCATTGTTCGGGAGAATATTTTGTGCGCGCGTGCAAAAGTGCCAATAACTTGTATGAATCGTCTCTCAATGTTTCAAGATTAAGCCAAGGAACCAACAGAGCCTCTCGGAACTCTCGCATCGGTTGCCAGGTGATATCTGCATGATCGTAGTGGTCGTGGACGAAGTTCCACTTTGTAGGGAATATGCGAAAAAAAGCTGTCTGTAAGGTTTTGGTGCGTTTGTCGCGAGACTTCTTTCTCCAGCGATTGATGATCATGTTACCATGAGCGGCAACCATGCGGTGAAGATATTTCACATCATCTTCGATAGCATCTGCGTACGACTTCGCGATCGTCTTGGCCTCGTGAACGTTCAATGCTTCGGCATAAGCCATACGGTCCATGGGCTGCTGGTCAAGAATGCGGTATTGAGCGTCGCACTCTGTGGACTTAGAACTGCAGATACCTATGGGTGGACCGTAAAAATCAACATGTTCGTCGAGCTCCAGATTATATGCCGTAGCAGAACGCACAGGTTTTGCTGTCGACATGTCTGGGTGACTTTATAGGCGATTTTCTGGATTCCGGGCTTAGATCAGATCTTTTTGTAAGGTTGAATTTGATGTGATTTGAAGAAAACGGCAAGTAACAGTGTGACCTAACGAAGACAAATGTGGAAGATATATCCAAGAACCAAAATTCTCAGGACTTCCATGACATGTTGTGGTAAAGCTTTGGAACATTCCAAGGGAAAAAATGTTTGAAGAGTATAAAGCAGATTGCAATAGATGAGTGAGTGAATACCAAGCGGCAAATGAAGGTGGCTATGCTTGAAAATAATACAGCAGAATTGAATGTCAAAAGAAATCTAGCAATTTGATTTACCTACCCTGCGCCTACAAAACAGTGAATAGGGATGAGTGTCATCTCAAATATATCCTGATTGAAACATATATCAGATTATTCGAGAATCATTTCGATCTGCTTGATGGATTGGACGAGAAAGTAGATACAGGCTGATATTTACTGGCTACTCTGCCTATGACCATACTTACGTGCATATTCATGAAACGGTCATTCCATGCCATTGATATATCATCTCGACAATCAATGTTTTTGGAATCAAGGAAATAGATCTGTGAAGAAGAATGAGATGAGATGCATTTTGATGTAGTCAATTCTTTAGAACAACCAACAAGGCCTTCAGAATCAGGAGGAATTGGACATCGACAATTGCTTGGCCTGGAAATCATCCAAGGAATTCATAAGGGCTTGATTAATCATGCCGATCTGGAGCTGTTGGTATTATGTCTCTTTTAGACTACAGCCAAAAGGGAAGGTGGGGTAAGCAGTCAGATACCTTTGTTAGCTGCAACTTCCCACAAGCGAGAATTTATCTACAGTATCCACGGATTGCGCCATTTATTATGTGCCGAAACATCTATGAATTAGATATGTAATCGAGAACCCATATTCGAAGTTAATAATGCCTTTAAGATATCTTCAACTCGAATCCTAGCATCGTACCGCTTGCATTGTCGTTGAATTGAAGTAATAGTTTAAGGCAAATGGAGTTCCTAGTGAGGCGATTGAGATGGGGAAAGGACCAGGGGGCAGAGTGTGCAAAATGTATAAAATGCCCTTCTTTCCTGACCTAGGTATCATTTTTTTTTTGAAACAAAGATCAACAGTCGCATTCGGGAACATTTTTTGGAATTCACAGTTCAAAAGTTAAACACAGTTCACAATGTCTAACATAAAGACATACCTCATAACTGGCGCAAATCGAGGTTTGCATTATCTAAACATAGCTGCAACAATTCTTCAAATCTGACTATTTTAACAGGACTCAGTCGTAGCCTTCTAGAAGCTCTGGCTCGACGACAAAACACCACCGTTATAGCTGGCGTTCGAGACCTTTCGTCCACGAGCTCGAAATCTCTCTCTGATATCTCTACAGCCACCGGTAGTCGCATCATTCCGGTTGCAATCTCCAGCATCGATGACTTGTCTCCTTCTCAAGCTGTCGAAACACTACAAGCGACTCACAGTGTTACATCTATCGACGTAGTCATCGCTAATGCAGGCATATCACAATACTACGGCAGGGTCTCCGAGACCCCCCTATCCGAAGTACGCGATCATTTCGAGGTAAATACAATCGGAGTTCTAACTCTCTATCAAGCTACTCTTCCCCTTCTGTTGAAGTCTCCAACTCCAGTTTTCGTAGCCTTGTCGACAGCTGTCACGAGTATCGGTGCTATTGGGGATATACCAATTCCAGCTACTGCGTACGGAATGAGTAAAGTGGCATTGATTTATATGGTTCGAAAGATCCATTTCGAGAATGAAAAGCTTACAGCCTTTGTTTTGACTCCAGGGTGGGTGCAAACGGAAATGGGAAACACACGAGCGGCAGCCATGGGGTTGGAGAGTGCGCCGGTAAAAATGGAGGACAGTATTAAAGGAATGCTGGAGAAGATTGATAATGCAACAAGGGAAGAAACATCGGGAACTCTGCAATCGTTCGATGAAAAAAAACACCCTTGGTAGACAAACAAATGTCAACCGGGGGGTTTCTATGCCAAAAGTGTTTCGTCGAATCAGTACAGCTTAATTCTATCATTTCTGCTTCACGTTTGTTAGATGGTGTCACTGCATACTTTGGAGTGGACTGAAACTCACAGATTTGTCCCACTAGTGGGTGCATGGATTGACGAGACACTTCTCAATTTCCATTTTTTTAACGGATTCATTCTTGAAGTATTCAATATCTGAGTTTATATTTTGATTGTCCCATTTTTACTGAATAGTTGTGACAGTTCCTAAGATAGACGAATAAAACATCAAAAGGTATTCGCGAGTCAATCTTTTGTAGTGACCTGTCAGTCCTTACGCCCACTGTGAGCCCTCATTAAAGCATCATGCAGCACTCTCTACTTTTCCCTCTCAAAGCTGGAATCTCGTCCTTATTGTGAGTTCCCTAAAATGGTAAACTCGGGAAATTTGACGACCCCCTTGATGCGGCAAACGTATCACACAGAAAGGTGCCACCAGCGCCAGGCCAGATTTATATGCTAACACTTGCACCGAGACTTCGGAGTGAGCAATCAAACAGAAGAGAGAGACAGGTATGACTTGTACTTGAGACTCGAGCCTTCCTCGATTGAGCTCAAGTTAATTCTCCTCGAAGCATGATCTACTCTGCTGTTGCGAGTTTGTGGAATAGAAGCAAAAATTGAGTGAAAAAAAAACCAATCAAATTTGCTGGACCATTCAATCACGTAGTCCACGCAGCTAATACGCATTGCTTTCAACGAGAAAACCAATGCTCAAAAGCAAATGGGTTTGACCTGAGTTCACTGATATCTCACCATCACAAATGCAACCAAAATGCGGGCCTTCTGGAGTTACCGTAAGAGGACATTAAACGAGACAGATAGGCAAGTAACAAGTCATCCTTGGGTATTATTATTTCTATATGCTTAAAATTGTCCTTCGGTGTTTCCGTCGCCCATACTCTTACTACTGCTACTACCACTTTGTATAGCACCCAGAATGCCATCTATATATGACGCACCGCTCCATTTTTGGTGCGTCAATACATCTACACCTAGCTCTTTCTCTCTCCTCTGGATCAAGTTGACATACGCGAGCATACCTTCATCCTTGAATGCCTTTGACAACTCGCTGGTGATTGTTGCCGTAGAATGAAGACCGGCGAGCGAGATTAGTTGTAGGACGAATCCATGCTTTGCAATATCCCAAATGAAGGATTTCAAAGTTTCGTCAGTGAAGCCATGGCCCATCCAATTGAATGAGGGCGAAAGATTGTAGACTAATCCTTTCCCAGGGTACTTGGCACGAATCTCGCCGGAGAATTGTGCTGCATTTTTGACGTTAGGGTCTCCGGTTTCAACCCACAAGAGGTCAGCATATGGTGCATATTGGATCGCTCGCTTTGTGGCCGCTTCCATACCAGCCTTATAATGATAGAAACCTTCTCGTGTTCGAGGTATATCTATGTTGAATATTATTGGGGATTTGCTGTATTTGGTAGCCAAATCCTTTCGTTTCGTGATTGACATATCTCGATCTTGCTTAGTAGTTTCGAGGTACTCGTTGATACTCGACTCCGAGACACCTTGTTCCTTCAGTTGCTTGACAACGGCTTCGTCACACGTCATGAGTTCATTTTTCTTCACCCATTCCGCTTCAAATGTGTCAATCTCAGCGCCTGTAGCTCCTGCCAATTCCATGGCTTGCAAAGTCTCCGCCAACGATTCGATACCGTCTTCTGCGACGCCTTTAATGAATTCATGGTCTCGCACATCAATCGCACTGCTGAGAAGCTTTCCGCTTTCGGAGTCTGTTCGTGCAATTACCAAGTTTTCCGAGCCCATAACATCCCATTGGAATCTCGCAGCCACCAAGCGATTAATGTGTTCTCCGACCGGCACCAGAACTTTTCCAGCAAGATGACCACACTTCTTCCCACCATGCATTTGATCCTCAAAGTGTACAGCGGCAGCTCCATTCTCCGCGAAAAGCTTGGCAAGCTTCAGAACAGCCGAAAGTCCGCCATGACCCGTGTCTCCGTCTGCGATAATCGGTCTGAGATAGTCGGTATATGGTGTCTTTGCCCGTTCTTCCTTACTTAACTTTCTTCTAGCATCCCATTGTTTTCGATCGTGCATCGACTGCGCTTTTGCCAATCGTTGGACTTGATTCGGTACGGTATTGTAAGGGTAATCGCCGAAATCTGGAGATACCTCATTCGTGGTGGTAAGTACAGAAGAACATGCCCATCCAGAGATATACAAGACTTCCTGGTTTGCAGCTTGTTGGGTCATTTGTACAGGGTCAATGGCACCCACTATGAGTCAATTGAATCAGCATATGTCTTCCATACCCCGAGCCTCATGATTTATCTCACTTGTGTGTATTGGTTTTCCATTTGCCTCCCTCTCTTTAATCAAATTGAATAATTTTCTGGCCATGACGGAGCTTGGGTATGATTGCTGCTGACTCCCTCGTTTCGAGACAACATCTGCCGCAGAATATGGTCTCTTGATTCCTTCATATCTTGGACTATTCCACCATGTTTCCACTTCCTTTATTTGTTGTTCGTATAATTCGTCTTCAGCCGCGCCAGCTTTTTGCGCTTCCGGTACGAGCTGGAATGAATCCGATGCTAGAGATCTCGATATTGGGTCATTGAGAGTTTTCAAGCTGGACATCCTATAACCAGAGGTAGCTAAATGACGAACAGTGATTGAACTTCTAGCAGACAAAGCTCTGCGGGGCGCCACAGAAGCAATTCTGCGAAACATTTTGAGATGCTCTATTAAAGATGGGTAATTTTAAAAAAAGTAAGAACTTGTACCTACTCTTACCTATGCCGCTGATCAATCAGGAACCATTCAATGCTACACCGTCATCGGGGTGCAGTATGTATGTATCTTCGGGTTCGTTCGGTTGTTTATTTGATGATCAATCGATGTGGCCGAGATACGTAATTATAGTTTCACCCCTGGTGTGATAAGATCACAGCACATGTTCGTGTAGATGCCGGTCGAGCCGTTTACCCGCTTGATATAACGACACCACTACTATTACTAATAACAATCCATCGAGTACGATTCGTCAATGATGTCTTGTTCCTAATGTGCTCCGTTTATCCTCGGCATAACCTACCGATGATCTGGAATGTATTATCCAACATCATCCCATATATCTTTCTTAGGTTCTTGGTAGTACTTTGGTTTCATTTTACATCTACTTCAATCAGGCGTTGAGACGTTTTTCAATTGTGAGTTGTATAGGAATCGTTTATCGCTTGTTCCACTACTGACCATTCAAGTGATATCCAGCATTTCAGTTGAGTTTACCCCGCGAATCTGCCCCACGATTTACCCCATCCGAGCTTCACATCCAAAATATACATCCGACGTTATGGCGATGAACGGCAGAACTGCGTCGCAGGCTTTCAGATCTTTGCGAGTATGGCTTCCCTTCCGACTTTGCTATATCATGCTAACAAGGATACTTTAATAGCCTACCGGTGTTCGTACTTTCGCCCTCCCAGCTCATCGAAATTATGCCACATCATCCGAGCCAGATCTCAAAACTACCTTCAAGGAGTGCATTCCTGCGAAGCGTAAGTTGTTGAAGAAAGTCAAGGCAAATGGCAACAAAGTTATCGGCGAAGTCAAGATCGAGAACACAATTGGTGGAATGAGGTACGATAAAATCTCACACCAGCATGGCACAAACAACACTAACAATATAATAGAGGATTGAAAGCCATGGTATGGGAAGGATCAGTTTTGGATGCCAATGAGGGAATCAGATTCCATGGTAGAACTATCAAGGATTGTCAGAAAGAGCTTCCAAAGGGAACAAGCGGAACAGAGATGCTTCCAGAAGCTATGTTTTGGCTGCTTTTGACCGGACAGGTCCCTTCCACATCCCAAGTCAGACAATTCTCCAAGGAACTGGCAGAACAAGCGGCACTTCCGGACTTCGTCAATAAAATGCTTGATAACTTCCCAAAAGATTTACATCCAATGACTCAATTCGCTATTGCTGTTTCAGCACTTTCTCACACATCAAAATTTGCCAAGGCATATGAGAAGGGAGTCAATAAAGCAGATTACTGGGAGCCAACTTTCGATGATAGCATATCTCTTTTGGCAAAACTTCCAGTCATTGCTGCCAAGATTTACCAAAACTCCTATAGAGGTGGTGGAGCTCTCCCTGCTCATGTTGATCTGGAACAAGATTGGTCCTACAATTTTGCAGCTATGCTCGGTAAGGGAGGCAAGGAGAATGAGAACTTCCAAGACTTACTGAGATTATACTTGGCTCTTCACGGTGATCATGAAGGTGGGAATGTTTCAGCACACACCACTCATTTGGTCGGAAGTGCTTTGAGTGATCCTTTCTTAAGTTACAGTGCTGGTCTACAAGGTCTTGCTGGACCTCTTCACGGGTATGTAGTCAAATCGTTTCGGTAAAGTCACGATTACTAACTGCTTTTAGTCTGGCCGCTCAAGAAGTTCTTAGATGGATTCTACAAATGCAAGAGCACGTTGGAACCAAATTCACCGACAAAGATGTATCCGACTATCTCTGGTCGACTCTTAACTCGGGCCGAGTTGTTCCAGGTTACGGTCATGCCGTTCTTCGCAAACCAGATCCACGTTTCGAAGCTCTTATGGACTATGCCTCTTCCCGACCAGAGATTGCTAAAGATCCCGTCTTCCAGCTTGTGAAGAAGAACTCCGAAATAGCTCCAGAAGTCTTGATGAAGCACGGAAAGACGAAAAATCCGTATCCGAACGTGGATTCTTCTTCCGGTGTTTTATTCCATCATTATGGTTTCCATGAAACACTCTACTATACAGCGACTTTCGGCGTTAGTAGAGGGTTGGGACCTTTGGCACAATTGATTTGGGATAGAGCATTGGGATTGCCTATTGAGAGACCCAAGAGTATTAATTTGGAGGGATTGTTGAAGTTAGCAGAATAGATCTGGGCTAGAGTAAAGTATCAATGAATGTACAATAGATGATGCCAATGAATTAATGCTTGCTTTCCAAGAAATCGTGCGAACTTGCTTGTGGTGACTGACACGTGAATGTTCAATCAAATAAGGGTAAATAACAATTCGATTTCTTGATTGTGCAGAAGATCGGAATTCTTAATCCATAAGTATAGTTAATGTTCAAATAAGGTTTGCAAGTTCTATAGAGATGGTTAACAATGAGGATGAAACCAAAGAGCAAGTCAACCGAAAGTCACTCAATCTATCAAACAACTAATCCACATATTTCATGTGGTACCAAAGTCGCAGGTGAGCTTGAGTAAAAATTAAATACTCTCAGCTCTTAACAGAATTCATACTCCTCAAACGAAGCAATCGTGAGCATCGAGCAACCGCAGGTCACCCAAGATTCGTTCAGCAAAACGAACAGCCCTCGCTTAGACACACCACTACTTATACTCGCATAAACGCGTCCTTAGAAAGTATTTAAGCGCCACATGAGAGCCTACTTCAATGGCAGAATATCGCGCTGTGGGTTTGGGGGTTTATGAGAAGATCTCCGCTATGTGGGTTCAATTCCCACCGATTTCCCCGTATCAGAGCCTGCCTAGTGTTTACGAAATGAAGTCCGTAATCACAGACGACAGCGATGATTCTCAGTGGGTAACAGCCCATCGGACTCTTCTTGTATTCTTTTTTTTCCCGCTGAAGTTTTTTTGCTACAATTCACTGGCGGGCCCACAATTTTGTATTGAGTTTTACCATTTGAACTTCATTTGTTGTTTTCATTCTGCATGTGATGCAACGTCTGTACAATTCTGTCTGAATTTGCGCCCGTATTAGAGATCCTAGAATGTTACGGCACGCCGCCTCTCGAAACCGTGCTGTGTGTTCTAACCAGCTTTTCATTATTTATTAAACATCTCTTCAACCACCAACATTACAAAAAAAAACTCAATCCTTTTTTCTCTACTGCGCAAGAAGATAAATCCTTTCCTCTTAAAAACCAGACCAAACCAGACCAGACCAGACCAAACTCTAGATTTAAACAGAAACAACTTCAATGCAACCTTCACGAAACGAGAGCACTGCTCTGGCTGCGACTGGGGATAAGGGTGGGCGATCTTCTCATCTTTGCTGCCGAAATCTACTCCCATACTAGGATATGCCCCAAGCTAACAAACATATAATTACAGTCCAAAGGGCAGGCAAGAAACTCACACGCGGCAAACATATTAGCAGAGGTTATAAACATTCTTTTTCTCCTACCCATTAAGAACTCTGATAGCTAATTGTTTTCTGTCAAAGACCAAGCTGTCAAAATCCGAAAACTGCGTTTGCAGAGCCTTCAAGGAATGAAAAAGCGACAAGCTGACCATACGATCACAAGAATGCTGAATAAATTGAGCATGGATCCAAATGTTTCAAAGAAAAGAGAAACAACGACCAAGAATCGTAGCGAGAGATCTATGGGAGTTACATTTGAGATGGATGTGGATCTGGAACAAGAAACCATTACCAGTCAGCGTAAGTAGGGATGAGGGGAGATTTGTACCAGGTCCCAGCACAGAGGGCAGGTGTTAATGTATGACTGATCTTCATATTTTGAAGGCGAAGATTAATGCTGAAAAAGTGTGTCAGTATGAGCTTGCATTTGCCTCTCAAGGGCGTGGACTTATCTATCTTTTAGTCAAGAATTCATTCAATGTTCAGACCAATTGAACAGATTTACATTTTTGTCGGAGCTTGTGACTGCGCCAAACCGGATGACCACACATTCTTGCTTTATGTGGACAGAAACAAGGGAGAAACCTGTCGCGAATATGCAAAGCGGCCGTATTGATATCCGTTTAGCATTGGCTTCAAACAGCTAAGCGAGAGCGGGGTGGGGATCCGATGACTAAGCCGTCTAATTCATTCTGAAACATCCTGGAAGAAGGTACGAATTGAAAGATCTGAGGATCTCTGGTCTCAAAAATCAAGACAAATGTATGTACAAATAGATTGTGACTTAAGATATTGAGTGTTTTATGACGTATTGATTCGATTATTCACCATCTGTTCTTATGAATTACTTAGCGAGACCTAGCGCATTTGACGCTCTAGCTTTAGCTATATTGTCAATTCATGAGCCAAATAATGACGTCTGGAGAGACCTACTAGTCATTAACCTTATTTATACGGGATGACGTGAAACTAAAGTATGGAACACAGAGCAACAAGAAAATTGGCCTTATAACGGGTGTTTAGACAATTACATTCTGGGTCTTTGTAAGAGAGTTGAGAAATTTGATTATGAAGAGGACAAGGACGATAGTTGCTATCGTCCTTATATTGGTAGCCAATGTTCAATCATTATTTGCCAAACAATTGTGACCATAATATCTAGATTATACAACTATTATGCGAATTCCACTTGAATCGTTTGAGAAGGTTTAAATGCAAGCCCAGAAGAATTCCTTCTGTTTAATTTCTCAAATGAGTTTGTCTATTGGGACCATACCTAAGTCTCGGTTTTATCAACTAACTTTCTGTTCATATATATCAACACTACTCTCGGTCGATATCCATTTCATTCATATGTTCTTACATTACAACGTGCTGGTGACTTTTGCTCTCTTCTCTGAAACATTCAGCACGCTATCAGAATGTGTCTATGGGTAAGAGATAACCCTTACTACTCCTCTAAAGCTACTTCTTCAAGAGGATGACTACCAGATGTTGACTAGATCCTAGATGCTGTGTATTTGACTCCAAAAACATTCTCCTCCGGTATAAAGTGTGATAAACTGACAAAATTGCTCAACCTTTATTGGCACTTGAACCGATATCATCTGGTTGTCATAAAATCTTCCCGAAAATCAAAGAACCACATTTTTTACCAGTCGCGTTGAAAATAAAATTCGCGCGTTCTGACTGACGTGTCAAGATTTGTTGATCTAGTGAATTATTTTCGGCACAGCGTCCTATATCTAGAACTCGCCCGTTCCTTCCCGCAAAACGAATTCTTCCCTCCTACAACCCCATCACAAATCACAGCTTCACACCCCATCCCCCAGCCCCATCTCATTCAAGCCCCGCCGAATTTGTACCAGTACACGACACAATCATGGATATCACAAAGGAGAAGCAGCAGCAACCGCGCGCGGCGAAAGCCCAGAAAGGAAAAAAGGCTGTGAGAGAAGAACGCCATGCAACTCGAGCTGCTCGTGGTAAGTACCTCTTGAGCTCGAAAGCTTAAAAACAAGGCATTTGTGATTGATTCTGGTGTTGAAAGTGTGCTAATAGGCTCCATGATTCCAGGTCAAGCAGCCCCAGCTGCTGCGCCAGGTGTGTCCTTTGCGACACCGTCTGCCAACCTTCCGACCGAGCAAGAGCTTGTTTTTCGACCCAGAGGTAATCTTTGATCTCATTATCTCTTACTTCATGGCATTCTGAGTCTTTCAAGAATTTCCGATATGCTAACTATAGCTTTAAAACAGTCACCCTCTCCAACACTGCATCGTCGTCGTCCTTTGGAACCAATCCTGCACCTGGCAGCGCTCTCGCCCCCTCCACCACCCAAGTCTCACAAGCTGATAATGCCACTCCGCCAACCCCAAACGCCTATCGAGCACCATTTGCCGCAAGAATCGCTGCCGTTGCAGCGAGACGTCCTAACGGACGCCACCACAAGAAAAGCAGGGTTCCCAGTCAAAAGGAACGGTTGTCTCGCCGTGCTGCTTTCCGTGAGCTTACGAGCGTACCATTGGCTGCACTTGGTATTGGTCTCAACCTTGGGGGCGCGATAGCTCCAGATATAGTCGGCAATTGGCCGGCAGAGGTCCTCGGGGACGAGTTGCTTGGAAGTGATGACGAAGAGGAAGATGATATGGAAGATGATGATGATGAGGAAATGGAGGATATTCAATATGATTCCGACATATACGACAGTGATGGAAACGAATGGGCTGCGTTGGGTGTAAACATGAAAGAGGGAAAGCCCTTTTGATTAGATTCTTGTTGATATGAAGAGATTTTCCGCCTTTTATCAAGCTTCCCAGTGACATGATATGATGCTAATTCTCAGACATTCATCTAATGCCCAGAAACATCCACATATGAACACAATGAAAGTAATTTTGAATCGTGAAGAGCAGCAAATAATCTACCGCATCGAATATTGATGCTGCCAAATGCATGTTTCTTTTTTTGGAATTTCTTTTACCGTAACTAGTATATAATGCACGCTAAATTAATGCCCGCTGAATTTACAAGCAAGTGTGGCGTTTTAGCCCAAAGCCACCTCACCCCTTTGCCAATTTCTGAACACCTCCAGGGCTTCTCTAAAAATATTTGGATTCAGCAAACGGCAGTGCGTAATAGTCTATTGGAAATCGTGATGAAATCATCATAAATATCTAACCATATTTTCTCACAGATTGCATGATTCTGACATTTCTAGCCATCTTCCTTTCCGTGCTGTAGACATCTTAATGGTGCATATAAATAACTCGGCCCTTCAATCTCCTCCCACTTTTTGCGCACTCGGTATCTTCGAGGCTAGTGTGGATGGAGTAGTGTTGAAATTGGGATGGGAATATAGATTTTGGGGGAGGGGGGGGGATTGACTGAAGTGTTTTTAAAACCTTTGGACATAAAAAACATCCAGCAACTCTGTAGAAGGGGAAAAAAAGATGTTGCGAAGGAAAAAAAGATTCTTCTTAGAAGATGGGGGGTTTTCCAAAGATTGTTTGTTGATGTCCGAAGACTATCAGTTGTCATGGGTTTGAACCATGTGATCACGGCATTAAACCGTGAATTGAATTCGAGCTGCGGCTCAAGAATTGAAATGTATGGTACTAAATTGGTTTCGGAGAACATTTGAAACAGGCCCTCCTGACTCCTAGGATTGCTCCTAGAAGACGGGACTCTTCATCGCACGGTTTATAACACCGAAACCAGTGTAAGGTAAGCAAATTCATTAAACGTGGCGGGGGTTTTTGGGGCAATACTTATCAATAGTTGAGCACCAAGACCACTGCGCCAAAACGCATGCCAATCTTGGTACAATTATTGTAGGTATTGTTTTGATATATAAACAATGTGCTGGGGAAGTAAATATGGAAAGATTTGTACATGTCATCGCGGGGAATGTTCTTGGGTACCATTTCGTCTCTTTAAACACATCCATTTTGGCTGGCAATCAGCCATACACATTCTGGAAATGAGTTGTACACACTTTAACAATGAGCTGTATAAATTCTAACAATGAGCGATGCTATATATACTCTAGTAATGAACTGTATATATTCTAAAATAAACCGCATATACTTTAATAACGAGCTGTGTATATTCTTACAATGAGCCACATATATTCTAGTGATGAGCCGTATACACCTGCAATACTAAGCAAAATATTGTGTTCATTTCTTGTGGCTTCTCGGAACAAGACTTCAGTCTTCGGCTCGATCATGATACGGTGGTTCTCCTAATAATACGTTTGAATCCCAAAAGTCTTTACCGATCACCAGAATTACCACCACTGGGGAATTATCAATCACACTAACAATCCGAGCAAATTCACAACGCTGGGTTAGAATGGCAAGAACAACTCTTCACAAATTCCAGAGGAAAGGCTGTAAGAAAGATAAAAAAGCAGAGAAGAGGTGGAATGTTCACTTGGAAATGGCCAGACAATTGTGCGAGGCTCAGCTCAGAGATTATGATTAGCGAGAAGCTTGAATAAGAAGATTGAGCATCAAAGAAAATATTTGTTGCTGGGTGAGTACATGGGCAGGAATGGGACAAAAACGAGGACGCCTTAATCCGGAGAGGATGAACAAAATGTACGTTCCGTTGCGTACGAATATAGAAATTACAATAAGTCAGACTGACAATATCGACAAAAAAAAACCAAGCGGAAGAACAATTAACCGAGAAGAATTTTGATGACGAGAAACAAGTGCGAAGGACGGTTTCAGAAATAATGAAGGAAAAGCTGGGGAAGATTGGTGGGAATCGAGATGGGATGAATTTGGAAGGACTTGAGGAATCTTTTGAATCGGTTTCTCGTCTTGAGATTTAGTTGGAAGCTAGATGGTCGGTGAGGTCTCTAGACTCATACTCTAGACTTCGATTAAATTCTAGCTCGAAAAAATTGAAGTAGATCGGCTATTCTACCAGTGACAAAGGATATCATTGGCTTTCTCCATCTATGAAACAATATGTTAAATTTCTGTATCTACCTGGCGGAGACGTTTGTTGTAGTTCGTGCTATTCCGTGAGATGTCGTAGATATTCCATTTGACTTCAACTGTCATTACCCCTATTTCATCTATCCGTAGATAATGTTTGTCAAAACCTTACTTACCGAGTCACCCTTGGGTTGGCTGACGCTACTGCAAGATAAGCATTTAAGATGTTTCAGACTCACAGACCTTCCCGTTGTGATATCTAGGCAGTTGATATCACTTCGATTAGCGATGAAACTGAATCAGGGGAAACGCCATATTTATCTGAACAAATCGTACTCTGACTTATAAGGGAAACAAAGTCGGGATAAGTCTAAATTTAACCTTGCTCACCGAATCCGAGTGATCCCCTCTTCTCCACATATGATTCGTGCATCTCTCAGCCGAGAATCTTAGCCTTATGCATCGATCCGTTGGGGCGTCAAAGACCCGAAAAGATCAGCATCCAAAAAGTGGGTCGTAAGCCATCATGCGAGATGCCAAGATATGGTACCTGGAAATCCAGACTCAATTCGGTTGGTGCGTGATATGTTGAGTGGTGAAAGAATTTCTTCCTTCTTTATGCAGGTGGATTGGACTTTCTTTTCGTGTCTTAGATTTCTTGGGGTAATCTATCAGGTGTAAAGATCAGATGTGATGATGATATAAAGATCACCAGGCCCGAGCGATAAATTCTGGATACTTGCAAATATATTGCATGCAGGCCAAGGATATGTGCAAATTTGACATGCAACCGTGAAAATGGAAAACTATTAAGTAGTTGCATATTTCCCTCAGATCATACCACTTTTTCTTTCAGCTGTTAGCATTTATTTGTATATAAGCATCCCATAGCTCGACACGTTTAATCGTTGTCGGCGTCCTTTCTTTTTTGAAGTTGCTGTTTTTTTCTGCTTCGTCATCTAAATTTGAAGCTCGCATTATTTGAATTTGTCCGTCGACAAAATGAGGTTATCATTGGGTGGTCTAGTATGGGGGGCGGTATCTTGCGCTACGGCTGTGAGAGCTGCCTGCTCAAGTAATCTATTAATTGATAATTATGCAAAGTTTGCCAGTCATACTAATTCTCTTGGACAATGGACAAGTGGTAAGTCACTCCTCTAACTCTGTGATGGCAGTTCTAACAAACGATGCAGACGATGGTACAACCACCAGTTTAAAAGCCGATACGGCAAACAAGAAACTCACATTCACCAGCAAGGCCAACAGTTATTTCTACACCACTTTCGATTGCGTGAAAGCGAAAACGGAGCAGTACAATGCAATCACATTCCCAGTCAAAGGGCCTGCCGGCTCTTCATTCAATTTAGAGCTACAGACTAAGAGTTCATGTACAGCGACTACTTATAAGAGCTACTACACCACTATATCTGGAATGACCGGAGCTACCCAGACTATCACGGTACAACTGAGTGCTTTCTCTGGAGCCAACTTAGATGCAATTTCTGGGCTTCTGTGGGAATCTTTCAGTATCAAAGGTGCTTGGGAGATCGGCCAGACGAACTTTGTTTGTGCCGGTGGTGCCGGAAGTTCATCAAGTTCAATCCCGATTTCTAGTACGATATCCACCAAGGGCGCTGTTGTCACGAGTATCTCTTCGACTAGTTCAAACACTTTAGCTACTACTTTGAGCACAGTCACTCCACGTGTTACCTCGAAAGTTCTGACTAGCAGCGTCAGTGCTTCGGCGCCAGCAGGAGCTTGTACGAACTTGTTGATTGATGACTTTGCATCTCAATCTCGATTGACATTCTTATTCTACAATGCCATGCTGCAACCTTCTTCTGATGATGGTAGTATGTCACCAGTAGCAGAAAGGGCGGACACTGCCACTTCAGTCATCGTGGCTAATAATCATCTCACTTTAACATCTCGTGCTGATGGATCGTCTTACTGGTATACTATGTTTGGCTGCTTGAAAGCAACCAATGTATATGGCGGAATTGGAATGACTATAAAGGCCGCAAAAGGGACCACATTAGGTATCGAGCTGCAGACTTCGAAGACTTGTGATTCTGGCAGCCCCACGTTAATAGACGTCTCGTCTGCGGATCTGGGATGGAGCTTCGACGGAACTGAAAAATTCTATACCATTCCTTTCTCCAAATTCCCGGGCCTCGACACTGATCATTTGATCTCTGTTCTATTTTCTGGTATTAGCAAGCCAATCACTCTCGGCCCGATGTCCTTCTATTGTGGTAACACAGGAACCGCTTACCCGGTTCCCACTACTGTCCCCGTCGTTGAGCCATCTTCTACCATTCCGGCAACCACGGGACCTTCAGCATATGTAATTGATACCTTCGGAAATACAGACTCTAACAACCTTGGCTTCTACCATGGTGGAGATGAGACCACAACCTACAAACAATCTGGAAACAAACTTACCATCAACACCAAGGGTAATTCTGACCTTGGTTGGTACACTCAAGTTTCCAATGGATGTCTCGACTTTACACCAAACGACAAAGGTTATCTTCACATCGCTTTTACCGGAAGTAATGCTTTTACCATTGCTCTTCAGCAACACAATCCCACTTGCAACCCCAATATTAGCCCATTCCCGTTCACATGGGATTCTGTGGAAGCATCGAGATACTCCAACTCAGCGAAGACCGACATTTATGTACCAATCTCCCACTTCGAAATCGACCGCAAATTAAGCGTTGGGTTCGCGCTCAAAGGTTTCTATACCTCCGATGATACAGTCATCTCGAAAATGGAAATCGTCACCTCCGTTCCATCTGGCTTCCTGATTCCATCCAAGCTACCAACAGCACCTCTCATATTCTCCTGCACACGTCCCAACTCGTTCGCTTTCGCAATAGTTGACGGCGATCCAAAGCTCGCCCAAAGAGTAGTTTCCTCCATCGCAGCAGCAGGTATTCACGTAACTTTTTTCACCGTTGGTGCAGCTCTCCTCGACCCATCTACGAATCTCTCAACAGTCTATTCCAAAATGTTGAGTCTCGGTCATCAAGTGGCGTATCATTCCTATACGCATCCACCCATGGAAGGCCTGCCAAACCTCGCATCCATAGATTGGGAACTCAACAATGACATCTCCGCAGTGTCAACCGCTCTCTCAGGTCACACATCAACCTATTTCCGCCCTCCATTCGGCACAGAAGGCGCACGTGTTCGTCAGCGTCTCGCTGCGCTTATCCCGGGCTCCAGATTTGTCGAATGGTCGGTTGATGTACAGGATTGGTTATGGGCCCTGAGTGATACACCTGAAAATCAGCTTACAAATTTCCAAAGTGACGTGGATAAGGGAGGGAACTTAGTGGTGATGCATTACTTGTACGAGTCGACCGTGAACTATCTCCCACAATTTATTGAGATTGCGAAGAAAACGGGAAAGCAGTTGATGAGGGTGGATCAATGTTTGGAAGACCCTAACGCGCCGCCTCTGTGAAAGAATTTTGTTGGCTTGATAATGAATGTAGGAGGCTGAGCAGGCGGGGAAATTTGAAATTCCAGGAAATGATTCTTGATAGAATCACACACGTTAAGATATGCACCCATATTCAAGTAACATACACCTTCATTTCATAAAATCAAGATTCTTAATTATCAATCTCTTTATCTCGATAACCGATGCAACTCGACTGGACAATTATCAACATAGACAAATTATTGGTGAACATCTGATCCATCACCGCACATAAAATTCACAACGCGCATATCAGATTGAAGAACGAATTCATTTGGATTTCATCATCATGGCTTACGGTGCAGAATATGTTAGAAAGAGCGGGAAGCCCAACTATGCTGCTGCTCATGCAGCGCATCTTCGCGCATTGGAGCGCAACAGAAGGGAGTCCGGTCGACAGTTAATTGAAGCTTGTAAACGCGCTGAAGCTTTATTCCAAGCTCAGAAGGGTAAGTTTAAGAAACGCCACAATTTTTGATCTTGCCTCTGAGGTATCTCGAATAAAAGGAATTGAGCTAATGCATTCGTTTATATAGAGGCCAGAGAAATCACTGCTGCCATCGCAGCTTCCCAGCCAAAACGTATGTAATAGACAAATCTCTCCAATAAAACATTTGTATACTAAAATGGAATTGCTATAGTGACAAAAAAGGAAGCATTAGTCGCTGCTGCCAAGGCAGCAAAAGTAGAACGCAGACGACAACGCCGAATCGCACAAGCTGAAGCCGCACTATCTGCCAACGAGGCTATTTCTATTGCGCGCAGAATGTATGCCCTAAGACTTAGAGATCCTTTGTCTGGAAAGCAGTTTGTAGATGGGGTGGACTATAATGATGATGGGGAGGGCAACGAGCTGGAATCTTTGGACGAGTTCAAGGCCAGAGTCCTTGGTTAGTTTAGAGTTCATCGTACGAGAGACTAGACAGAAGACTAAGAGCTGATCTTCGAATTCCCGTGAGAGGGTTGTTAGCTGAATTTGTGACCTCTTCTGGATCTCGTCGTAAAGTATCGCTCTTCCTTGGATCTTAATTTGGCGGAGTTTAGGTTCCATTTTTGATAGCTGCTGGACTTTGTAAGATCATAATTGTAACATTAAGCTAGTTATGAAGCAGTATCCATCATATAATTCCAAAACTATGGCAGCACCAGCTACTATGTTTCATGCCCGTGTTTTCTAGACCTCTTGATGTTCTCCGCACAATACAAGGGAAATCTCGTAAGTCCTTGAACTAATATTAGGCTCCTCTCTTATATGAGCTAATAACTGATAATTATAGCTGTTGACGGATCTTGAATAGGTGAGTTTTCTTGAAATCTAATTCACCAGTAGATGCATGAATTAGAAAAAAAGCTCTGGACTTTCAAATCTTGTAACAAATTTATTCTTCATTTATTTGGTGTCTAAATCGATATTTTTATTATTCCATGACGAATGAATTATTGAAAACATTCACAAGATATTCAAAACAAAACTCCAGGAGATATTGTTAAGTCAATTTTCATGGTATCTTGTGAATTCATAAACTTACTGGTGGTGGTCCTGGTGGTCCACCAGTGGGTGCATGGACTGACGGGACACTTCCCAATTTTCAATATTTTCAATAAATCCATTCTTTAATTGTTTGATATCAGAATTTGTATTTTGATTATTTTATCTTTATTCAAGAAATACAACAAATTTTAAAATAAATGGTTCAATATATCAAAAGATATTTACAAGTTCATTTTTGTACTGTCCCGTGAGTCCGTACACCCACTGGTAGTCGGAGTAATGTGCTTAGTAATTGACTGCTGAGTCAAATGTTCTCACTCATCTCTACCGTAACATATGGCGTTTACAACCATAGTCTATATGATTCTTGAACTAGATCCTCTTCTTATTTATTATATTCTCGCTCAGATCTCTCGTAGATTATCTACCTGTATAAAGAGATTTTCAGTCCTGTTTGCGCTATTTGTTATACGCATCAACTAAAGCAATACAAGAGTAAGCGGATGAGGAAAAAAGGAGTCTCTAAAGCTTACCTTGAATCGTTTCATTTGATGAATCTCCTACAAGACTCTCTCCTAAGGCTTTCCTCCATTCAAAGAAATCTAAAAAGAAAATAAATCAAAATTATGTTTGAGACGAATATAAAAATGCTGAGGTAGTATTTTGTCGCTCGCCTCAGACCTTAAATCCATAACTTGAAATTACAAAGTTGTATAGATTTCCCACTTAGTCATGTCAGAGTAAAGTGATATCATGAGATAATCCACAATTGCTAATAAATTTCTTATCATCTCAATTAATATCTCCAGATGCGTAACACTATCTACTTGGTCAAAAGTTCGTAAAGTTCCAACTTATGATACTCTTATAGTGTTCTATGTGATCGGAACGTGGCAGGCGAAGTCTGATGCCAGCTGGCTCTTGATTTTGTTTCCCTTCTTGAACATCTTCGAATTCTACTTTACTTATTAGTGTCTTCGCCTTGATCAGATTATAGTTACTTGGGTACGTCTTCCATGCTAAATAGTTGTGCTCTCCCTAGTCAGTCCACTAGTGGGTGCATGGATTGACAGGACACTTCCCAATTTTCAAGATTTTTCATAAATTCATTCTTCAATTGTTTGATATCAGAACTCGTATTTGAATTCTTTTTATTTCTATTCAAGAAAATATATCAAAAGATATCCCAAGTTTAATTTTGTATTGTCCCGTGAGTCCGTACACCCACTGGTGGTCTCCCCAGGTTCGTATCATCTCGACATATCTAGTTCGTAATTACTTCAACGATAACAGTATGCTATAATTAAAGAATCATAGAATGAAGTAGCCAAACACAATAGGCAACTCTTGTTTGGAAGGCAGTTTCTCAATGTGTTGATGACATTTAGAAGGTGGATAACCATCTAGCTGTGACCGCTTTTCCGCTGGATATATATCCTAGCGATGATATATTCACATCAAAAATCGCAAGCGCACTCGATCTGGCCGAGTTGGTAGCTTGAACGATTCAATAATTAGCCAATACTTCTAACGTGAGGGTTTAAACCACCCCAATTTCTGAAATTGACAATCCACTTTAGCGTTGAAAAACGCGACAAATGCTGTGGTGCCTTGGAGAAATAAGAGTGAAAACTTTTTGTAGTTTTGATTGTTGAAGAACCTAATTTCTTTCTTAGTTACTTTTTTTAATTAAGGGCTAGTAAGATCGTGACTTCACTAACCCGAGTGAGTACACAAGGTCACTTCGCGGATACATAGTTCTGGATCATGATGCACCATGTCAGCAATTCTTACAAATGCGCTTTCTTCTTCAAAATTCTGGTGGGCGCAGTATTTCTTAATTTCAAAGTGGATTGGAGGTAAATTCCCCTGCCGGCGTTTCAACGAAAATCCAGGTAAAGCGGTCAGAAAGAAGAGGCTGAAATGCTTGCAGGTGTTGTCATCTTACTGACTCCTAAATGACAATATCCTGCGCGTAGGTAAGTGAGTATCCTGCTTTCTTAACGTCTTGAGTATTTCTTCCCACTTTGTCCGATTATTTTACTGGTTGGCATTGAGTGGGTCTATGCCATTTTGCCCTCGCCCTGACCCCGCTCAAGTGAATTTCTTACTATAAGTGTATCTAATTCAACAACCGTCCTGTCCCTCGCGCGCGTGCAAGCAGCTAGAAGCAAGAGCCTCCTGTTCTTTAGATCCACTATCCCTGCTCGCTCCGCGTCCCAATTACATCATTGATAACAGCCTTATTTTAGTATACTATTCTTCATTTCTATGAGTCAAAATGAAATTGAAGCGATGGTCGTAGACCCTAAGAAAATTTACGCTGAAATTATAGGCCCGTAAAGCTTTTGAAGGTTGTCATTGGCCTCAATATCAGGAGTTTATATCGCAAGTGTGGTTCAATAGACTATGTACTGCTGCAATTTTGACGTGTAGATGAAAGAAAAAATGAAATAAATGCATCCTTGGAGGTGTCGAGTTAAGCGCGTAGAGCCTCTCACTTTGAGGGGTTTCTTTGGTCCCTCTTCCTCCTTGTGATACAATAGCTAAAACCAACTTTTTAATATCACAATAAAATTTGATCCTGTAGCTATGAACGGAAATGAAAATGAAAACGGTTCACAGATTAGAGCACTGAACAATTTGTCCAACTAGCAACGCTTGAAAATGATAGTGATACTCATGGAAAGATAAAATCAATCAGAAAAAAAAAACATAAAAAAGCTATCAGCTCTTAAGCTCCGAGTAACCCGGCGCGCATTATCTGAATGTACAATCGCTGGTACATTTGAAGGATTCAAACGCTTCCTTTGGAGACTTTCCTGGCTAACCCCTGACCCACTATATCCATTAGCCCACAATCATCAAAGCAATCCACTAGTCCAGGCGTGAATACTATGTGATATCTGATGCACATCCAACACCCTCACAGTATATAACCCTTTCTGGATCTCGAAATATCATCTCCCCCAGTTCCCAGACATTCTCCCACATCAGAGCAAGCAGGGTGCTTGATCTGATGCTAATAAAAGATTGAGCAAATGCTATGAAACAAGATTCTTCTTTAAAACAACAGATACTCTTGATTTATCCCTAACAATTAGAGAATGGGGCTCCCCTCGAACCCATGTGATCGTGCAACTTTCCTTCATCTACAGCCCCAACTAAGAACATAACTTTGATTCTCACAATATGACTACATATTACAAAGTCAAAGAAACCAGGGGGCAAACAGTAGAAGGTTCTCATTTGAGCTCTTCAATGGTTTCACTTTGACATTCGAAGGCGGGATGACTATCGATGCTTTAATGAAGACCCGACAGTGATACAATAGCTCATAATGCAACTACCTAGATACTTGACCAAGCCTTGAAGATTAATAAGATTAGGTATTGAATGTGATGGAGTTCATACCTGAGTGAACATTAATCTCTAGATTACCAAGAAAAATTCAGAGAATCAAGTTTATTTTGCAAATAAATTTCTAGATGTTAGATAATAATGTCCATTGATTTATAATTATTGTATGACTAGATAGTGCCAAGAATCTATGCTTATCATGTGCGGCGTGAGTCTTGGGCAGTAATAGTAATAGTGGTAAATTCACAATCGACTTGGTCTATCTATAGCTAATAATGCTATGCTAATTATGCATTGTGTCTATGGGGCTTAGTTATATTAGATTATTTCTGCACGGTATTTCAGTCATCTCCTAACATTGAGAAAGAGAGTGTTGGCAAGTATAAATGAAAGTCGTTGACTGTTCAATTTCCCATCAAACACTGGGACAATTAGAACGGTACGAAATGGCTGCTGATTCAACGAACCGAGAGTCCCAATCTAGCTGGTCGAAGGCCATGATCTTGCTTACACAAATAACGTTGGAGAGTTTCAAATCTCAAACTTTGAGAACTCTTCCAACTCACCATCAACTCTTTGGCACAAACCAGTACTACTATCCCAAGGATAAATTCTCACAACAAAAATTCAATCACAATAACGAGAGCGAGAAGCAATGATCCTGTTGTATGGGAGCGTCGGAAGGAAGACCGTAGAGAAAAAAGAAGAAAGCATAAACAAAAAGTAGCTGGTGAGATTTAAAGATAGACAAGACACTGCAAAGACATAACTAATCATTTGACCTACTAGCTAGAAAGATACAAGATTTGCAGTCAGACACGAATGAAGATACGGAAATGCATGATGAAACGGGTATTATGAGTACTAGCAGGAATCCAACTGCTGCTTCCATTCCTCCCAAGAAAAGTAAGTTTTTCTACATAAATTTGCATATTAAGCTAAGCATGACCTTGTTTAGCACGGAGCGAACGGAAGAGAGTTAACAAGAGGAAAGAATTGAGACAGCGCATGAAGATTAGAACAGCAGTTTTGAAAGATGCAAC